ACTGCCGTGCTAAGGAAGAACGCCGTATGAGCCTCCAGACTTTGCCAAGTTTCCTTCGATAAAAACCGAGTTTACTGAGAAAGTTGTGCATCTTTTTTTCCAAAATTTTCAGACTATTTTGTACACAATTTAATTTAAAATATCTGAATATTTCGAGGAAAAATGTGCGTAAATGTCGTCAAAAATTCATGTTTCATCAATGGAAAGTTGGCAACTCTAGAATTTTCATACGGCGTTTTTCCTTAGCACGACAGAGTAGACGACAGAGATTTTCTGCGGTCAAAGGATGGAAAGTTGCACTTTAAAGGCACGAGGCGGTTAAAATGAAATTCCATCACCTCATTACGAATCCCCGGCTCTGGGTCATGAGGTTGAAATATTTTACCTGAAAGCGACTGGAGAATACGACCACGAATCGCTGAATAACTGAAACACTTCGACTCGGAAACGGGAATAATTACGGGTTTCTATCAGAGACATTTTATAGGTACGTATTTGTACATTCGGTTCAAGTGCTCTATTTAAGATTACTCGGTCAAAAGAGCGACGAGTTTTCGTCAAAGAAGGAAAAGGGAAACTCGGAAACAGCAGATCTGCACGGGGAAAAAAAAGAAACTTAGAGACCTCAAAAATTAAGGTAAAATAGCACCAACTACAGCTCAGCCCCACTGCCTGTAGTTGGCGCTATTATACTAAAAGTGTTAGGACTCATAGCGCTAAGTTGTTATGCCGTGCGGGTGCCTGTGAATGGATATGAGTCTTTAAGATTCTGACTTGCAAGTAATCGGCGCTGGACGCTTTAAAAAATGCTTAAACCATTCCCATAAAAAGTTAAACACGAGAGCATTGAAACCTGGTTTTTCTACACTATACATGACCATAAAATGAATGACATACGATGTACTCTGCGGCGCAGTGGAACAATAACTGTAAGCTTTGCAAGCTTACAGTTGAAGCAAAGCTTTGCAAGCACGCACCTCTAAAAGAAAATTCGGGACCGATTTACTTAAAGAGCACAATAAAACCTCGATACCTATAAAATTTCTGAAAACGAAAAAACAGACTTACCATTGCGGTTTGGATCTCTTCCTCGACTCACGGAAGCAGCTGCGTAACTTTTACTTACAGGAGGTGGTTAAAATATTTATCGTTCAGTAATCAAGTCATACGGACACATATGGGGACAATCAAGTCATATGGGGGAAAATCGCACACCGGGGGTCGGAAATGTAATGATCGCCAAAAGAAATGTCAAAGATGAACCTGTCAACGACTGTAAAATTTCTTCCCAGAAAAGTTCGAGGTACCAAGTTCCGTCGAAATACTCGGCCACACGCTTTGCACAACGTTAACGAAATGACTCGACTTCCGGAACGACGCTGCCCAATTATCAAATCAACGCAATAAATGTAAAAAACTGATAATGTCACATATTTAAACACGATTTACGTCCAAAAAATAGATAAAAATTCGGAGAACCTTCTTTTGTCAGAGGGTGATAACCGTAATGACTCACTTGCTGGAACGTTGGCGACGCACAAAGGGCCGACAATTCTTAGCTTGATGGTTATGAAATATGCATTAAAAACGCATTTAACGCATTGAATTGTAACTTTACCTGTAGAAGTAATCAGTATGGCTGGGGAACTTTTTCTCTGCGGCTACTTGAATGTTTCAATGCAAGACATCTTGAGGGATGACTTAAAAAAGTGAAAAAAATACTATATACAGTAGATATCGGTTAATTCGACAACGGTTAATACGACATATCGGCTAATACGACGAAATCCCGTAACCCCTTGAATGTCGTATTAACCGATATCTACTGTATTTCACTTCGGTACCGCATTACTTGGCTTAACTATGACTTTAGAATCATAAATATGAAGACCACGTGAAAATTAAATCAAAGCTGATCATACACAATGCATGAGCGATGAGCTATAAAAATGGAAGTGGAATTAGGCCAAGTTTTCCGGAGTAACCCAAGACAAGGGACATAGACCGTAACCTGGAGACGAGTAGAATGTCATCCAATATCTCATTGTTTTCAGATAGTATGGCTTCCTAGGCTGTGTTATTCTGACTTTTTTCCCGCGAAAAGGCATAGATTGGTACCGTGGGTCGGTCTTACGGTCGGGTTTGGGGGGCTTGTGTCTGGGGTTCCTACAAAATGAACCAAATTTGAAATTGAGATGGAGAGAGATTTATGAACCAAAATAAGAAAACATGGAATAGATTGTACTACTTATCATAACAGATTTCTCAGCTGTTATCAGATGATGCATTTTTCATGATTCATATCGAAATGCTGCGTCATGTCATTTGTCTGGGCAGGCGTTTGTGGTCCTGTCTCGACGAAGTTTACTGAATTTATCAGTCCTCTGTTTGAACCGGCCAGAATCAGCTTGTTTTCAGATTTTTAAATTTGGAAGAGTTCACGACAGAAGGTGGTACTTTTTTCCTCTCATTAAAAATGGCGGAGGCGTGTTTTAAAGATATGTTTTAGAGGTGTTTTGCTAATTTGTCTCTTCCATGCGAGGAAATTTTGGCACATTTCGGTCGAATTCATAGTAAGAACATCAAAAGTGGTGATTCTACTCCTGCTGTCCGACACTGTGATATATTTTACTCTGACGAACGCCTTTCGTAAAAAGAGAGTCAAGGTTCATGTCAAATGTGTGAGTGCCATACGAAGATTTTTGGAAATTTTGGGAAACAAGCCTAAAACACCTAAAAGGGAAAGCAACTTTTGTAAAAACCTAGCAAAACCTAACCTCAGAATTGTAGCGTAGGTAACGCACTGATATGAGAACTGTGCAGGATCACGTGCGATGCTGCCGAAAATGGGTGCTCAACGCGCTCTCGTAGCGACCGGGAGAAACTCATAATCTAGCGTCAACGCTACGACCGAGGAATGCGGCAATCCGTTGCTCAGTTTTTTTTCATCTTCGATTCGCACGGATATCAGCGAGACTGCTTGGCGCCAGGCGCTCCAAGAATTCGGTCTCGTGGCTAGGAATTTCTTTCATGACCCATTCATACCCGCTAGTTCAGGAGGTTTCTCCTGATTTCTTTCTGGAACCTAAAATGATACCTCGACGTTGGTCCAGTACGACTTTTAACGAGGAGTGTGAGCGACAATGGACTCAGCATTTTTAATATAAAATCATTTCGAAGGATGTAAACATTCATCTAATTAGGTCATTTTAATAACCTAACAACATGGGTTAAATTGAAACGCACCTACGATTGATGAGTGTGAGGGGAAGGAGGATAGGTACGACTAACAAACCGAGCAAAAACGCCGTGGGGTATGGATTATGGATAGTCAAACTGGTAAGAGAAAGGAGATAGCAGGCTGCTATTACTTAGCAAAATTTAAAAAAATTGGATGAATACAGGAGCTTTCCCAAATTCATAAAGGTACGTGGATAGGGAAAACAGCTATGTCCTCGTTAAAAAGAAGTTTGATAGTTAAATATTTTTTCTAAGATTCAGGTGTCAAAAAAATTCATTTTTATGATAATCAGCCCTAAAATTAAAAGCCCCCCCCCCCCCCCCCCCCCAAGTTCCGCCCATGTCCTTCACCTAGATTAACACTGTCAATGCTTTCCTTCAAATTAATTACAGAGCATTTAAAAACTTTACACACATAAAACAACTTGCTTCAAGGTTTTATAACGATTCATCAAAGCAGTTGAGAAGTTTTTTTTTTCACAAAAGCTACTTAATAAGAGGTTCGTACACATGAAAAAGCCAGCAGCTAGTGCGTTTAATATTTAGTTCACTGCTCATAGAATACAGCGGAGTACAGACAGGGCTCATCATTAAGATAGATAGTTTTTTATATTTTAGGAGAAAACCTAGACACAGTAGAAACCGCTTCAATGGGAATGTTTCTAAATTGGGAATATCTTTCAATGAAAAGAATTTCCAGTGCAGGTAGTTTTCACATGATTTGTCAGAAATAATCGGCTCCAACTGTTCAGCTTTTAAGTCTGTGGGGACACACTATATTAAACCCCCTCCTCATCCTATTTGGGCTTTGAGTTTACTTGATCCTGCTTAATGATACGCATGTCATGACTGTCATGCACCATACACTATTGCACTGTGCAAGTTCATACTTGTGAGCACTATTTTACAGGTTTTGCTATTATAATTTTTCCACAAGACAATGGAAAACTTATTGCCTTCAGTTAGGAGTTTACAAGCTCCTTCTCAAGGCTTTCACATTCTTACTGCAACCGAAGTAATAACCAGATGGTCTTCGAGATGAAAATTTATTGGACCCTGAATAATTAATCACTTCAAATTTTTAAAGCGGTGTGGAAAATTAGAAACCTATGTTTGGATCGAAAATTCTAAATCAGGTACTTCTCCCTACATTGTCACATCTGAAATGACAAACCATTAGGCTCTATTGACAACATTCGACGTTGGCAGGACTGTTCAGCTTTACTTCAGAAATCATGGTGTGGAGAAGGTAACTTCCAAAAAGGCCTTTTTTAAGATGGCTTGTGGGACCAAAAATGTTCATACTCACTGAGGGATAAACATGTGCAATTTTAGTGACTAGATCAACGGGGGGACATTCTGCTAACCGCAGAAAAACAGATTTTACACACTTCAGGGAAAGTCTGACAAGTGAAGATACTTCCTAACATTGTGACCTGGTTTTCCATATACCTACCCACTGACACTTCAGAAAGCATCAATTCCATTATCCATAACTTCCTCAACTTTCTTGTATGGATATAAAAAAGATTGCCATGATGGGTTCAATGATATAAGACCAATATGGTTCCGAAAGTACAACCAAATCAAGCCAACATTTTCAGCTGAAAGTGGCAGTAGAAAGGGTAACCTGTTTCCACCGCACTAGTCTGCTTTAAGGTACAACTTCTGAGTTGAATGAACCTTCGCCAGAAGAAATTTCGCCTGCAGACATAGAATTTGAGCTGAAAATAAGTGGTAAATTGGAAATAGGTACTTACATCATCTTGAAAGGATGGGTGATAGTGGAACTCCATGGACGAGAGATACTTTCAGTGGCGATAAGAGGCCATCCTCTTGTAGTCCTTTCATCAAGACTATAGATGAGTACAATATGAGAATCTCACACAAAAATTTTGATTACAACTGACTAAAAAAGCGTCTATTGTCCTGGAACAGTGAGCAGTGTGATCAGTGGTGCTGGTGCATCTGCTGAGATGTGTGTTGAGGTTTCACTTCTTTGACTTTGAACTTAGACCAAACTTGATAAGGTAACTAAGCGTCTAGTGAGATACTTTTAGCGAGCAGGAGGGCATATAGAGCAACAAAATATACAGTGGCGGCGTTTGTTTTCGTTGATACACTTAACGCAAGAATCGGTATGTATTACGTAATCGAAGAGTACCTAGACAGACAGCCTGGACTAATTATTGAGTCACGGAGCATGAACCCGGGAGAAAACGTACAGATGCCGAAAACCACGTGGATCTGACGGAACGTCAATGCATCGAATCAAACGAAAATTTAAACGAGAGCGTCACGAATTTCGCACGAGAAGTCGTACCGAGGGGGTACAAAATGAGTAAATTGTAAACCTCATGGGTTGGAACTATCTACTCGGACGATCCAAAGGAGGTATGAAGCTTACTTCGGTAAACTTCTGTAGCACTTGCGAACGCAATTGAGGAGGTTAGACACAAATTAAATGCATTTTTCGAGGGATAGAGATGCATGAGCTGAGAAAAATAAAATAAAAAAGGCAGGGGAGAAAAGCACAGGCGAAGGACACTAGTGATAACGTGATGGTATAGTGATAAGGCGTAACAATAATAACTTGTCTTATGCACTTGTGCAGTGTTGCCGATTGTAACTATTCGGATGCGCACCTTCTGCTTTAAATTCGGAGTGGAATTAGTGAAAAACATCGGAATTTTTAAATGAGAAAAAATTGTTGCTGAATCGTATAATGGTTCTAATCACGATTGATAAATGTCAAGATTTTTGGTCAAAATAAAAAATGACGACTTGACAATACAAGAAGAATAAAACGTTGAAACTCATCGTCAACTGTCACGTGATGAGCGATATGCGTTCTGATCATTGACGTATAATACAATCTAGACCGCGCATTGGGCCCGACTTTAGGCGGGGAAGGTAAGACAGCTAGGGGGGTAAAGACGCGCCTTCAGCCTAGTTGATACCGCCGGATATACGAGCTAAGTGTACCCGTATCAGGCAACGGCACTGGCAAGACTGGCATTTCCACGAATTCCACCATTGTCTCGCCGGTACACTTGCTGTGTGTTGCTGGGTTGCCTATCGTCTCGCTTGAATTTCGTAATGCGCGGTCTAGATTGTATTATACGTCAATGGTTCTGATTCGTGCGTTTTCATTCAAAGTCGTTCCCCCCTCTTCCCGCTGAAAGAAGCGGCGTGCGCTTTGTCGGTGAACTTTCTTGTCAATTCACGAACTTTCGTGTTTAGTTTGAGTAATTTCCAGGATGTATCCTTAGATTAGTAAGGTTTGATTATTTTTAAATCGGGCAGTGCGTGAGTTTTGAAAAACTCGAAGCTAGTTAGTCTCCAATGACTCATTTGTTGACACTGATATGTTGTGAACTTCTAGGTTAGGTGTGATCAATCGCCTCGCGACTTTCAACATGACGAAAATACTTATTTTAATTTTATTTTACATTTGTTTGGCCTATGGGTCGAAATTGAACGTCCCTAGGGTCTTACTACCCCTCTTCAAAGATGTCACCAGTAATTTTACTCTGGAAGTCAAGGACAATGGTTGTTACAAATGGTAAGGATCTTTCGGACGTTTGGCTTTAGAGCCATTTTATTTTTCATTCTACACAAGGTCTTTTTTCATTCGAGCCTTTTTACGTGGAAAGAAAGTACCTCATCAGTTTGCAATATTCCAAAATTTGTGTGCATATTGCTTGAGTCCACATTAAAGCACTCAGTCGACCAACCTCTTCGGTGTGGGACTGTGTATCAGCCGTGAATCGACAAATTCATTCACCTGTCTTTGCGAGCTTCTTAACGTAAGCATGCTTACCGGACGGTTCTTAGAAACAGCTTAGCTGTTGTCTGTATGGTTGACCTTCTCAGCTACACTCTAGGGTAAATGCCATGAGTAATAGGAATTAAACTCAGGATTATGTTGTAAAACCCACCCTTTTAATTATAGGGTGGCATTCAGCCGTAGTTCAGAGATCGCTAAACAGAAGCAGTAGATAATTTACTGAATGTTTAAGATTAGGCTTATCTTCCATTAAGCAACCCAAATCAATTACCTGGCATGCACTGGTCTTGAAGCGAGTTGGCAAGCCGAAGGCTGCTCTTCTAGAGTTGTTTTTATAAAGCTCGTAAGCGCATCAATAGGTTTGCTCAAATAGAAAATGTGGAAATAAGGAAGGAAAGGCAATGAAAATGCAAAAATTTTAGATCATCATGAACTAGTAAATACTCTGTAGAAAGTTCTTCAAAAATTGTTATTTTCACCACTAAAGAAATACTCTTAAGAGGGACGAAGATAAACTAAGCTGCAGTCTCCTCTAAAAAATCTACACTCCACATCCTTGCCCCATTATTTTTCTTCAATATTCAAAAATTTTCGTTCTTTTCCATAGGAGCATTTCCAGGAAGGATGTCATCCAGTTAAATCTGATCAACCCGGACCGAAAAGAAGAATGCTCTTCTCAAGCCCAGATATCAACAATATCAAAAGAATTTACCCGCAACACTGTTATGGTGTTGCTAGAAGATGTTGTTAGTGGCCAAATCCTACGATGTGATGTCATAGTCGATGTAATATATGCCCTCAATATCACTACAACCACTCGAGAACTTTTCATTGAAGAGGCGCCAGAAAAATTTGAGGTCCGAGCATTTGATGAACAAGGTATCTACAAATTTTGTCTCTCCCATAAATTTTTATCACTTGAAATCTGAAGTTATTATCAATTTTATCTAGACAACAGATATGTTTAGACACTGGGTTTCAGGAAGTGATGGATTTTAACTGAATGAAGACGTATTGAAATGAAAACATAGAATGTACATTGATTTTTCAACACACATGAACTCGAGATGAACACAATATGTTCAAGGTGCCATTATCTTTACCAAATTTCTTGGTATCGTGTTTGTAGTCTTTAGTGTCTTGGGATAAAACAGTGTTAAGTCAACTTGATCATCCTCTCATCTAAGATTTTGACAAATAAGGTTTTTTTAATACTTTAATATATTACTTATGAAGTTATGATTCCATGACATTTTCAGGTTTTAAATACCTGTACTTAGTTGAAGAAAGGTCTTCTCACTAAATCAGCTTTCAATGCCGTAATCAATGTTTAGAAGACAAAGTAAACAAATGAAAAACATTGTTTCTTGCTCTCTAAAAATCAACCTAGAGTTTTTCAAAATATCTTTAATTTAAAGGAATACTGAACAAAGAAAACATGCTGCCAAATTTGCATGGAGTAAACAAAGAGCAATTCAAGCACTGTCAAAATTGAACGTTTTGCCACTGTCAATAGTCAAATTATTAATTATTAATTAAATTATTAATTCATTATTAAATGATAATTATCTATACTATAAGCTCCAAGACCTCCTAATTTTGCGAAACTGGTAACGCTTAGTTCCAGCGTTCTACCGGGCCGATTTTCATGATTTTTGCGGCTATCGACCGGCAATTGTGTCTAGATAAGCCAACTCTTTTCAGATTTTCAAAATATGGCCCAGGTTTTTTTATATTACGTGGTAAAGTTGCGAATTCTCCCATTTAAACAATGTAAATTTATACTTTTTGTCATAGTTCGTTTGAGCGTTCTACCGGGCCGATTTCCATGATTTTTGCGTAAATCGACAGGTAATAGGCCCTAGATGAGCCCGCTGCAATCAGATTTTGGAAAAAGGACCCAGGTTTTTTTAAAATCACGTTATAAAAAAGAGTGAGTTTACAGAATGCTCCGGTACTGCTTCCGCTATGCGCGGGAGGATGCGCAATGGTCGAGGAGGTTGCGCAGTAGCTGGGTAGCCTGCGCATCACCTCTACACTTATCTACACAAGATTCGCACCTGCGACTTCATGTCGAGCGGTGGCTGAGTCGTCTAAAGACGTCAAATGCGTCCACTTTGATCACAGAGCGGGTTCGATCCCCGACTTAAGAAGAATCTTAATTATTACCTGACTATCATTGTTCATTGTTTTACTGCAATATTTCGTCAAGCAGTCATTTCAAAACGCGTCCTTTTAATTTTAAAGTAATTTTAAGTAAAGTTTAAAATTAAAGTATACCTCATATCGTATTTTTTTTAGGGGAAAAATAAAACTAACACTGATAGGAGGGTAAAAATAGGGCCGCGAAGCGGCCCATTGATGGCGCGGAGCGCCTTCAGGGGGTCGGGCCGCGTAGCGGCCAGGGGGCGTAGCCCCCTAGTTAATTAATACATTTGTGTTTCCAGGGAACCAGTTTACCACTCTAGATGGCATCCAGTTTAAGTGGACGATCAGTAGCAACAGCTGGCACTCAGACTACAGGACAGACAACAGCGTTCTACGCTTCATCTCTTTCAGAGACTCTCCATATGAAGTTCCTCTTGCTATTAAAAGTCTTGATGATGCTGGTCTACAAGGTCATACTGTTCTGTTAGAAGGCAGAAAAACTGGTTCTGCCAAGGTAAGTATCTGCCTACAGGATTTTAAAAAATTACAACTTCATTTATTTCACTCAATCAATAAAGTTCTTTTTCTGTCATGTTGCAATGCAATGCAAAAAAAAAAAAAAAATTAATTTGAATGTAAAATTGTCTAGGGTCTATTAATGAATGGAGGAAAATTAAGTATAAAGGAGCCAAGTATGTGATATCTTTGTGAATTTGAGAAAAGTGCGGTCAGAGTTGAAACATCTCTTGGAAGACTCTGATGAACTTAGGACTCTAGTATATTGAGGGGGGGGGGTGTGGAAGCTTCAGGGTTTTAATTTTTCTACAAGGTTTCCTCTGAGACAAGCTGAAGGCAAAACAACAAATATTTCAGTTTCTTCAAAAATTTCACCTTACTTATCCATCTGTGATATCCTTCATATTATGAAAGTTCAGAAAATTGGAGGCATTTGATAAAAAAGAAGCCCAGAGGACGGTATAGATTGCATTCGCACATTCCATGATTTTGTTGCGCATTACAAGTGGCGGATTAGAGAATCAGTCAGTGTAGGGCGTAAAGAAGTGTGTGTTTTGACAGTTTCAGGCAGATTGTGGACAGGATCTGGATACATGCATATAACATTGAAGCATTGCTTCTTTCTTGTTTTCGAAGGTCAGATAGGCCTTGTAGCTCGTATGTTAATGCATGGCTTTAGGCTTGCATCAGAGGCAAAAACTGAGCCCAGTTTTGCATAGAATGGCTGGATTGGTACAGAGTGCTCGGTTTGAAATTGCAAGTATCAATAAATATCGTCTGCCGCTCCATTTCAGCTGATATGTGCATAGATAGCTTCAGTGATGAGTCCTAAGAATGACTCAGTGGTGCTCAGAACAATGGAGAGGGCATTAGTTTGCTTGTTGCCACTTACGTCCATTATTATTTTTTCTGACTATTTGTCTAACCGATGCAGCAAACTATACAACCTGAAAGTTAAGTGCTGCCTCCAAAATGTGAACGCTATTCACTAGTCGAAACTGATGGTTTCACTTAAAAGGTCTTCGTTGAAGTTTATTTAATTTTTTTTGTGTTTCCTCGATCCTATGTTCCCATAACATTCCATTTTGCTTTACCAGTGAACCTATCTTAGATGACTATAGAGCAACAAAGGAAAAACTTTAGATAAGCACTCCCAAACAAAGTTAAAGCTCTAGAAATCATAAATATTTTATCATGGTTTCTCTATCTTGTTTAGGTCGTCAATCGGTCATAACAACCGTAAACCTCCTGTTTGTTTCCTAGAAGAGTCACCTCCAGCCAAAAGTAAGATCTTAGGATGACAATGACTTGGAGATGAATATATCTAGAGTCTAAGTTAGTTCTTATCTAACAACAGTGTCTCTCCTGTCCAGGTTTCAGTGGAACTTCCTCAAGCCGAGTATGAGAAGGTCGCCCCGGCTGATGTCCAGTTAGTTGTCGTTGCGAATCTGTTATTGGAACCAGCAGATGCCTACATGATGAAAGGGGACACTCTTCGATTCAAACTCCTGCAGGTGAGATTTTCTCAACCGTCTATTTAGAGCCAGAAGTCTGTTTGGATGATCATTGAAATAAACCGAAGAGTTTAAAAATTTCAAATTGAATTTACCTCTAGACGGATGAATTAAATTTGAAAACAAACACTCATAAAAAATAAAAAGAAAAATTTACTGATCAATGAATTTATTCTGTGTAAGACTGGATAAAATGATGAATCGCAATAAATTTTTCGGCATATGTATTTGTATTATTTTTCTGCAAGAACTGAATTACATACCTTATTTTTTCTTATTAATAGGTGCAACATGGAAAACTCATCGAAATTCCTTTGGCCTCCAGTCAGTATTATTTTGACTCGGAGGATCTAGAGATTGCTAAAGTATTGAACAACAATGGCCTTGTGTCTGCTGAAAAACTTGGACGCACAAAATTAACGCTTTTCGATCGCAATGTGGATGAGAGAGACAGTGTTAGGCTGCCACAAGCTCACATCACCGTTGCAGATCCTGCTCGCATAGCTCTTAATTTGCTGCCGTATAAAAATTGGAATGTCCTCATGAACGAACCAACTTCAATTGTTGTGGAAATCTTTACAGCGTAAGTAAAACTCTAGCTTCAGTAAGAAAGTATTTTTACTCACGAATAAAGCATTTTCAATGATCAAACTGTGCTGTGTACAAGTTGTAGGTGAATGGTCAAATCAGGCATTTTGTTAAATGCTAAGGTAAATAGCCAAGTATTCCTACTTAAATTGAAATTCTGAATATACTGCTAACTCTAGACAAAACAATTCCTTGATTATGTTGGAAAGAATTCTCTGTCAAAATTTGCTTCATGCGATGATAAATAAATTTATTCTGATTCTTCATTGACACCATGCAACGTTACTGATTTGTACTCTCAAAATGTTGAGAATTTGAGAGGTCTTTTTGAAAACGTACAAAGCCTCATAAATTCTCAAATTTTGACCGTTTGACTTGGCATTTGATATAATGCCCGATTTGACTTTTTGCCTGCGACAATGCACCTAATTTTTGTAGTTCTTTTTGTCTGTATCAAATACAGTAATAGCTTCATTTACTAGATACTCACTGGATTTTGCGGGCTAGTGGACTTCAATTTAGGTCTCCGTCATTATCCTGTAAAAAAAATCTATACTATAAGCTCCAAGACCTCCTAATTTTGCGAAACTGGTGACGCTTAGTTCCAGCGTTCTACCGGGCCGATTTTCATGATTTTTGCGGCTATCAACGGGCAATTGTCTCTAGATAAGCCAACTCTTTTCAGATTTTCAAAATATGGCCCAGGTTTTTTTATATTACGTGGTAAAGTTGCGAATTCTCCCATTTAAACAATGTAAATTTATACTTTTTGTCATAGTTTGTTTGAGCGTTCTACCGGGCCGATTTCCATGATTTTTGCGTAAATCGACTGGTAATCGGCCCTAGATGAGCCCGCTGTAATCAGATTTTGGAAAAAGGACCCAGGTTTTTTTAAAATCACGTTATAAAAGTGAGTGAGTTTACAGAATGCTCCGGTACTGCTACCGCTATGCGCGGGAGGATGCGCAGTGGTCGAGGAGGTTGCGCAGTAGCTGTGTAGCCTGCGCATCAGCTCTACACTTATCTACACAAGATACGCGTCGACGATCTCATGTCGAGCGGTGGCCGAGTCGTCTAAGACGTCGAATGCCTCCGCTATGAACTCCGTGTGGGTTCGATCCCCGACTCATGAGGCGCTCATTTATTACCGACTATTATTGTTCATTGTTTTACTGCAATATTTCATCAAACAGTCATTCCAAAACGCGTCCTTTTAATTTTAAAGTAATTTTAAGTAAAGTTTGAAATTAAAGTATACCTCATATCGTAATTTTTTAGGGGAAAAATAAAACTAACACTGAAAGGAGGGTAAAAATAGGGCCGCGAGGCGGCCCATTGATGGCGCAGAGCGCCTTCAGGGGGTTGGGCCGCGTAGCGGCCAGGGGGCATAGCCCCCTAGTGTTATATACTTTGCAATTCACAGGATTTTAATTTTTACTGCTGGCAAAATTTCACCTCGAATTACCAGATTCATTCAAGTTTGCCCATTGCATACCTTTATCGCTGTCCCATAGTCAAAATATCAATCATTCAATTTTCCATTCGATGTAACCATGCATTTCACCTTACTACCATTACTACCTTACTTACCATTGGTGTGGGCACCAACTCCCATAAGAGGTGTGAGGAGTCCTTTGAAGAATCGCTCTTCAAATGTAGTGCCATCGCTGCATAAGAGCCGACTTTTTTACTGACAGAATTTTTCAGCAGTGCCAGACAAATCTGGTAAATTGTGCTCTTAGAAAAATTGTGATACTTTTGACACCATAAGAAAAATGGCAAATCTATCATTGCCTGAAACAAAAATTAAGGATCAATATGGTAGTTAAAAATTAAAACTAAGGGATTAGAAAGGTTGTACCACTTTGTATTATTTTCTTAATCAATTTTATCTTGCCTAACCAAAACTCTTTGTTTCCAGAGAAGGGCATAAGTTCTCAATCGGCGATGGCGTGAGAGTGATATCCTCTATTCCGAGAGATTTCTATCAAGTGAAAGATGAAGCATACAACGGAACATACCACTTCGGCACTGCTGTCAAGCCTGGTGTTGCCCAGATTCAAGCCAAGCTAGAGTCCATAACCACGCCTGATGATGACACCATTCCATTCAAGAAACCTTTGACTGCTCAGGCGGAGATGTTTATATACTCCAAGATTCAAGTTGTTCCTTCGGAGACTGTGCTTGCTTGGGATCCTATCATCAAACCGAAGTGAGCTTATGTTCTTTTCCTGTCCTACTTTTGCTCATTTTTTTAAATGTATATTTCACAACTTCAAGATGAAAAAATGACAGGATTTTTATAAATTTTCCATCTCTTCTTCATGTTTTTTACCTAATACAATAATGCATGCAATTTTACCTGCAAGTTTTGAAAAAAATTTAGTAAAATTTTGACCTCCACCAACTGTCAGGCCTAATTATTGTGCTCAGCGAATTCTTTCCTCAGAAAATTTCACTTTTTTCCCCACGAAGAACCAGTTGAACATTTGCTTCATTAACGTTTTATTTGCTTTATTTGTTGTGTATTACTCCCACCCACCATACTGGAATGGCTCTCACTAATTATAATTTGAAGAAATTTTCAGAAGAAGACCTAAAACTTATTTTAATGTTTTCCATCTTCTCAACAATTGTATTTTGATTTTTTTGTCTCCATTAAAAAATGAAATAATTCAATTTTACATTTTTTCCAGGTATGACATCAAATTGGAGGCAACTGGTGGCGATGGTAATTTCGAGTGGAGCGTAGCGAATACCACTGTTGCTGCGGCCAAAAGCTCAGGCTCTATCAAAGTTCTCTCTTTAGGATCAACTTCAGTTTTTGCCAGTATGAAAAAAAATATCCACAACTACGGTATCGGAGAAATTCATGTTTTACTTCCTTCCCGTTTAGAAATAGTTCAGTACGTTTTAGAAGAAGAAATCAATCGGCCAATTTTCATCCATGTAGCTTTATTTGGGGACAGAGTTGTCAATAATATTCTTAAGCGTGTCCGTATAACCAACTGTCATTTGATAAACTTTAACATCACCTCATCAGATCCCTCTTTTGTGTTACATCCCCAGCAGGAGACTACTCCAGCAAAGGGTGCCTGTGCTACTGTGGCTGTAGTGAGTTCCACTGTCGGGACAGCAAAAATCACTGTTTCTTACTCTGTGGATGGTGATTCTTTTGAAGACACCGTCACTGTTGGAGCATATGCTCCGCTAGAAGTTGTTCATCCAGTTAAGGAAACAGTCTTGGCCCTAGCCTCATCCAGACATATTGTTTTCCGTAAGGGTCCAAAACCATGGTCAGAAAATGGAGGTAGCTATAAGAGGCAGATAGCGGTATCCAGCGACAGCGTACAAGTTAGTGAAGTAACAACTTTTGGTAAAAGTGAGCCTAATGAACTCTATGTCTACACAGTTGAATGCTTAAAAATAGGAGAATCAATAGTCTCTTTATCTATTTCTAATAACCCAAATTATGTGCGTTGTAAAGCAACAGAAGCAATAGCTCAAGTGAAGGTTATTTGTGCAAAACCACGGTACATTGTTTTAAAACCTGACGTCTCAAATTTTGGAGAGAAGTGTCCTATGAATCCTCATAGTGACTGGATTGTAGCTCACTGTTACCAAAATATAGAAGTAGCTGTCACAATCAAAGATGCCGATGGTAGAGTTTTTGACAATGCCACCAGTCTAGATACCAATTGGAATGTAGCGTCAACTGAACTTGGAAGTGTAGCTGCCCCAGGAATGATTCCTCTAAAATATCGAGCAGAAAACAATTATCTTATCCCTGAAAGTCATTTCCAAGTTATAATTCCAAAAAATATTACAGGCTCCATGAAAGTTACTGCATCTTTAAGAGGCTACCGAAGTCAAATGCTGAAAGCCATTGGTGTCTCCGCTGAATACCCTGTTTTTGGGGTGAAAAATGAAGACGGATATGAAGTGACTCCGGAGATCAAGTCTAGCATTGTATTTCTCCTTGTTGACGATACAAAAATTTTACCAAATCAAACATCGATTCTCAATCATCCGGAGGATAGAATCAGTTTGAAAGTTGTTGAAGGTTCTGGTTTCTACAGTTTAACTGTTTCAGGTGAAAGTTTTGCGGACGTAAAATACGATGAAAGTTCTCGCTCAATTGAGGTGACACCTCTTCAGTCAGGAGCTATCAGAATTGTTTTAAATGATTTGTGTCTGAAAGGAAAACCAGCCAAAGCTCAAATCAATATAGTGAGGATTGGTATGATTCAGGTAGACATGATCGACAAAATCGAAAAAGGACATTCTACTGTGGCCAAAGTTAAAGTTTTGGATGTGAATGATAACCCATTAACGGTTTTGAGACCAGATATTTTAGGTTTATCTGCTCATGTAGACCAGAATATCATATCCGTGGAAAAGGATTTTGTGGATGAGCCTCAGAAACGAAGAGGCAAGGATGGCATCAGTTTTGTCGTGTCTGGTAATGAATTGGGCTCTACAAATTTGATCTTCAGCTCTGGCGATGGTGAAAGGAAGGTTCGCAGTCAGCAAGTGTCAGTTCATGTCTTCCCTCCATTGCAACTTCTGCCGAGAGATTTGACTATCACTCCAGGGGCACGGTTCCAGCTCAGCTCAATAGGTGGCCCACAACCTGATTGTATTATGGAATTTGTTTCAAATAATAGCACAGTTGGAAAAGTAAATGATGCAGGCCTAGTTGAGGGTTTGAAGATTGGAGACATAACTGTTCAAGGACAAGCAGTTGGATTCAACAAAATTTCTGGCAATCGCATTGTGTACTCAAAAAGTTATGCTGTAGTTCACATAGTGCCTCTCGAAGGCATAAAAATTCATTCTCCCATCGTCCGAATGAAAGTTGGAGCTAAAGTCCCTGTTTGGGTTGGTGGTATTCCAGATGTCATAAGTCCACTAATCCTCGGAAGTATTAAACCCTCACTATCTTTTAAGTGGTATGTTGTCTCACCAGATTTCGTTGAAATCAAGGATGTGCTTCATGAGTCAGGCATAGAAGTCAGAAATGAAGATCGCCTGTCAGTTCGAATCCGTGCGCTGAAAGCAGGCAAAGTTTCATTGTACGTCAATGTAACACTGCCTCCTGGCATACATGCCCAAGGCTTGACTCACTTATCAGACCACATCGAGCTTGAAATATTTGAGGAACTAAAACTTACTTTCCCTGTTCAACCGAGTGGATGTATGTCAAGCAATCTGCTTTTCGCTCCAAATACTGTAACAAAAATCCGAACCAATAAAGATGGGGACTATCCTGTCTCTTACAGTGTTCTTGGTGATCCATCGACAAGCCCTATCCCTCACAGCTCAACGGTTAGCGCTTCTTCTGTTCTCAGTGTCAACAAGGATGGTTCAGTGACAACTGGAAATGTGTTCGGCCGCTCCATTGTGGTTGCTCACTCAACTGAAAGTTCAGGACTAGAACAATCGGTAGCATTTAATATTGAAGTTAAGCCTGTACATTATTTGATGTTGAATGTACGATCTAAATTAGTTGTCGGAGAAGATGAAACCATCTATCAACTTCCGCGCGGAATAAACTTAGAATTTTTTGTCTCATATCATGATAAAGACGGCACTGAGTTCACTTCGGTGAGCTCAATTTTGAAGAACCAGGTTAATCGCTTTGATTTGACCCAGTTTGGAAGAGGCAGCTCGAATAATTCATTGAAAGTCGACTTGATTGAAGCTGGAGAAACAGTTTTAAAAGTTTGGGATGAAGCAACTCCTTACAAGTCAGGAGATTTTGTCAAGTTATCCGTCGACTACATCTTGTTCCCAACTAAAAGCACAGTAACCGTTGGAGAAATTATTTGTTTCTCTATGCCAATGCTTCAAAAAAGTGGACAGTTTGGATCTTGGAGCTCTGCTGACCCAGAAATACTGTCTGTCACCAACAACGGTCTTGGTAGAGTAAAAAATAAACACGGCACTGTAGTTGTATCCTATCAGTGTCCACCATCTCTTGTTGCCACAACTGTAATTGAGGTTCTTCCGTTACACACTTTGGCCTTTATACCAGTGCTTAACAGAAACATAAGCAATGCAAGATTAGAAAAACCATTCACAGCGCCTTTATTGCTTCTTAGTGAAAAGGATTCATATGTCAAAAGTAGCAACCTAATAGCCAAAGATGAAGATAAATGTCATACATTCAACTACACTAGTGCGCATTATCCTTTCCAGTGCTTTGTGAAACTTGTAGATCCTAACATACCAGTTGATATCCGTGACATCTTTAATGTGTATCCACATTTCGATTTTCAAACAGGCCTCTACTCTTGTTTATTTGAACCTGTCAAATTCCCAGCAACGAACATAACACATCTGCTGGCTAATCTATCTGTCTGGGCGGTGTCTGGTAATATTGAGTCAGACCCAATAATTTACTCCTTTTACTCTGCTATTACAGTAGAAACATCGTCTATGACACTGACTGAAAAGAACTTCAAAGACACTTTCGCTATCTCTGGTTTACCACAAGTTTTGAGCCAAGTCTCTATCATTGGTTATGAAGAACTGTATCTAACTATTACAAAACGTGACATTAATCCAGAGGAAAAGTCTGTTATTGTCTTGGATATTCAGCTGAATGAAGTGTACTGGCGTGCTAATAGAAATAAAGACCTGGACACTAGCTTCAGTATTGATTCTCCAGTCACTGGTCAGCTGATCAAAATTCCGATTTTCATTAGACTGTCAAATCAGCAGCACTACGCAGCTCCGTGCATGATTTCTTATCCGTTTGCGGAGCCTAATTACTTTTGGTCAGACGTGAAGTCCCTTTTCCCCATTATCCTCTCCATAGTATTTTGTTCATTGGTTTCATTCTATAGCTTTTGCAAGTCAAAGGGGTACTCCATCGGCTTATTTGCTGAACCTGGGGGAGCTCCTCCAAAGTTCACAGAAACAAAAGCGCCTCCTGCCCAACCACGAAGGTCTCAATCACCAGGGCGGAGATTGTACGTCCATCGTACGCCTTTTGAATCAACTCCAATTTATGGAAGTCCAAAATTAACACCTTCATCCAGGAGCACATCTACTTTTTCTGGGAGTCCTTTCTTCGTTAATGAATCGACGTAGCATTTGACAGTATTAAACAATTAACAAAGTTTGGTTGTGATCACATATTTTGAGAACAAAACGTCAACTGTTCTAAAACTCATACCCAGCATTCACTGTGATATTTAGGTTTCAAGTTATTTTATCCAGTTTGAGTGATTAAATTAGTACTCTCTCTTTACTTCTAGGTATGTAATTTTTCTTGACTAATTTATTTTTCCTCAAGTCTCCTTTTCAATGTGAAACTTTTAACTTGATGCGATAATTTCTTTTATAACTAAGAATATTAATAGTAGACCATACGTTTGTTTTGGATTTTTAGACTACAAAATAAGCTAAGAAAATGTACGCCCTAAAGTTTCTTGGACTTCATTTACCTCATCCTTGAATGTCTCACTTTAATTTTGCTCAGCTCTTAAATTTATTTATATTGAATCCTATTTCTCATCTATTGTTTTGCTTCATTCATTTATTTTTAAGGCTTTATAGAATGCTTAATTTGTATTTTCTCTTATGATCTTTCTTTATTTTATTTCTTATGGAAATAATGCAGGTTTTTTAAGTCATCAGTTACCTCTAACAGAATTTGTAATTTACTCTGTTCATGGCAATGTAAAGCTTGGCTAAAGTTGCATCAAGAGAATCAGTGCACAGAAATTCTTTTGAGGGACTATGCTAGTGTGCCCTAAACTTGAGCTCAAACTGTGGTGGTTGCCTCAAATTTTGACAGTATAATCGTCTGCTTTCTGTCATGAAGCATATTCTCTGTTGCATTGCTCAAAATCTTTCTCCAATTTAGCTCATGTAAAAGTCATAAAAAATTCTCATCTCAACGAAAATTCAAACAACCTTGATGAACTAACTTTCTCAACATAGCTGCCATGTTCAGTCCATTCATAATTTACTTTGTTTCCATCAGAACATTTTTTTTTTTTTTTTTCAGAACATTTTTGTTAAATTGTTTATTGTTTTCTTCTTTTTTTCTCCATTTAGTTTTTAGGCCTTTACTTAATTTTTCTTGTAGAATTAGATGCAGTTACAGCATCATTTTATGGATGCCTCTGTGCTGTTTAGGAATATTGACTTCATGTTTAAGCTCAGGGACTAGAATCTTTTGAATTTCACAATAGGCCATCAGACGTTTATTTTAACAGACTAGAAAATCCTATTCAAACGGTTTCCAATATTTTAATCCTTTCATTTCACAGCTGTAAGTTCCTTAAATATTTCCAGAAATTTGTCTGGACCATTTAATTGTAAAATAGGAAGCCAAAATGATCCATCTGTTTTTACTTCTTTTTGTAAGGCACAAATGATTAACGATCAGAGAAGAAGCCTCATTTATTTGCATTTTCAAAGTCAATGTGTGTCAGTTCATTCTTTTTAGTGTCTCCCTCATGGACAATCCATTGAATTCGACAAGGAACGAATCCTTGTCAAAGCCAACCATCAGAACTGAATCAGTCCGGCCTGACATTTGATTTTAGACCAAGTGAACCTGCCAATTTATTTTTACAATGGATTAGGCTACATTGTCCTAGCTCCCCGAGGGGCCGATGCTGACATTAATGTTCACAAAAATGTTAACTCTCTTGTTGAATGAGAAAGTTTACGTTTCTTTATCCATTCTATTTTTTTCCCCTTCTTTGCTCCTTCGGGTTGGACCATCAGCAAAAATGTAAATTCAAGCCTGTAGGATGAAAATAAAATTTCTGAGAGCAAAATTAATGGCATTTACATCGTGCTATCAGGGTCAACTTGGTCTTTGATGATAAATGAGTCTGTGTCTAGTTGCAAGTCATTATAAACATTTTCTAGAACTGTTTTTTGTGGATAAGTCAGAAACTACCTAGTGTGCATCAATTTGTGTTTTTGTTTATTTTCATGCTTGCACATTATGCAAAGAACAGGCTGAAAAAGGGTTTTGAAGTTATTTCATAGTATTTTTAATTTACCTATGTATAAAATATCTTTGTACTCCCAAGTACTATTTTACTAAATTTGTGTTCTGAAATGGTGTTGTTAAGCCACTTAGTTTTTCTGCGGAACACATCGTTTCACCTTTTTAAAATGCCATTCAAGTGTTAATCATTAGTCGTTCGCCAAATGTAGAATGCATCAAGTTACTATGATTCATGTGTAAATGCAAGTCTCAGTGTTTTAGTTTTTCTCAAACTTTGTGCCTGCAATTTTATAAGACATGTTATCTTTTAAGAATACACTTTTGATGAAAGGTTCTGTAGTGATATGATTAATGAAATTAATTTGTAAATGTTTCTCAGAAAATCAAAAAAATTTAATATATATTTTTGAATATTCATTAGCTAAGATAAGATTGCTCAGGACTCCAGAAGGAGTATTTGCATTGATTTGTCCAACGATAAATGTAAATAGTCTTCTGATCTTGTCATATTTTTCTAGTTTTATTTAATTAGACTGTAACTAATTTTAGATGTAGCACTGCAATATTTTTAAGTTTCCATTTGCACACTATTCCAATAGGAAAATTCAGCTGAAGTGCTGTTTGAGTAACTGATGACTCTCTGAAAATATTTTAGAAAATGCTTAAACGGACAAAAAAATCCAATGACTTGATATCTGAGGTTCTTTCTTGAGTTTCTCTCATTGTAATTAAATACCAGGTACGCTTTTCGTTGGATCCCAAAATTTGAAAATCAAAATGTGAAGAAGAGAAAATGAAAAAAAAAAATGAAGGCTCCTTTCCTCTAACTTTTGCCTAAATGAGGCAAATTCATTTTGTCTTACAATTACTCATACCGTACTCCTCTTTTTCACTAGTTTTTTAATTATTTTCTTTATGTTTTTGTAGGGCTGAAATAATGAGGTAAAGAGTAAACATGGGAAATGCTTAGCTTGAGTTAGGGACAGGAAGTAAAAAAGAAGAAAAGATTGTCCATGATTTGGTAATTTTGTATTTAATATTAGTTATAGAAAATAAGGTTTGTGAGATAGTGTACATGTAATGTTTTTCTATTATTGTTCCATTTTCATTGATTTGTTATTTTTTTCCCCCATTATATTTCTTATAAATTTTAACTCAACATTTTCTGTTTCAAGTACTGAGCAAGTCATTTTAGTTTTTAGGTAGAGAAAATTAATAAATTTTTCCTTCTGTAAACACATTTTATTCATATTGTACCTTGTTTATTTGACGGAAAAAATAACCACATACTTTTCCTAAGTGCACATACTTTTGTATTAAGGGGAGATTGCATTAGGTTTAACAATATTCCTAATACTTTTGAACTGAGGGGGGGGGGGTTGACCACTTCTGCAAGCTTTTGCAGGTATTCTAATGCTTGCTGTTCTGCTTGTACTATATTGACAAGTTTGGCATTTATTATACTTCAACTAATCATAATTTCCTCAAGTATTTAATGCTGATTTGAAACGTGTAGCATCCAACACATTTTAAGATAAATTATTTACAGAGAGTGAAAACCACATGAGAGAATGGCAAAAATCATTAATTCAGTTAACAAATCAGAAAGCACTTAACAAACCGCCACAGACACAACTTGTAGAATTCAAATTTAAGACAGAAAATAATCAGAAATGAAGGATACTTGGACTTAAGCTTAAAGGTGTAACTGAATTTGAGAATTTTGCTATAATTTTTTAATATCATTCATTCAATCTTCCTCAGTACAGACTGTATATGTATCTGAACTGTCTACTTCACTATATTCTAAAACTACACCTTTAATCCAAATAGAGAGTTTGAGTGGTCTTTTTGAACTTTCAAAATATTTTGAACCAAGAATCAATTTATTTTCATCCACAATAAAAGCAAGCAGATTACTTCCTTGCATTGATATTGTTATTTCGTACTTTACAGTGTAAAAAACAGTATTTTGGGGGGGTTCCCATTCTATGAGAACCTCTGAACTTTTAAAGAGACATTGCACATTAGAAACTGGGGTTGGAAAAAACCATTTTTTCTCCTTACTTTTTTCTTCCGCATAATCATTGAATTCCTGAATCCCTGAGAGATAGAACCTCATAAACTCTTCTCCCACTCTAGTATCTTGATACATGCGGAATAGATAAGCTGGATCATGACAACATTTTACCGAAGGAATTAATTGGGTTGCAATAATATTCTTCTGTTCAGACAGAGGTAGATGCTGTAACCCACCAAATAATTTATCATTGTTTGGGTGTGTGACAGAATTTTCTTCATTCTGATTTTTCCAAAATTTGAGGATGATTTGTGGGTTGAAAATTGCCCTGAGAGGATATAGGAAAGATACATACTCAGGCTGAATTCCAAAAGGAAAAAGTTCAAAAATTAAAGTTCTCCTCTTCAAAATATTGAAAATTGTCAAAATCATCGTTGAGCTGTGCATACCAATGATTATATCAGCTTCCAGAATTTGTGTGATTAAATTTTGCACTGTGTTATTGAACAGATCAGTTTCAACAACACCAATTTTTCTCTGAAAAATTTCAGAAGATTTAGTCTCAATTCTTTCTTTCAGTTCTAAAATGTTAATAATTTTCCTATTGATTTTTCTGTTTAAAATTACAATATTTATCTGGTTTTTTGGAATAAAATCGACTTTGATTTTTAATTTTTGAATGATGAAATTGCAAAATTTCTCTAGGATTACAGAGTCAATTTTAACATCTTTCATGGGTCCTTGTTGATCAGTAAAACCATAGTTGAACCAGACCGTTGAAGTATCCATCCCTACTCTCAAGGTTCTAAAAAGTAAAATTTTTTTCAATTGAGAAAAGTGGGTTGACTTGGATGCAGTAATGTCAGATAAAATTAGAGGCTCACGCAAACTAAAGATTTTGTACAAATCAAAAAATTTATGAGAGGTGCACTTATCGTGTAGAAATAATCGATAGTGTGCAATACACCGGTCAATATCTCCGTCACATAAGTGATGGTAGGTGACAAAAAGAGGCAATAGATCATCATGAAAAACGTGCATAAGATTATCGCACTTAAAGCGGCTAATGACAAAAATTGGTTGATGAAAGACCGATATGTGTACTTCAAGAAGTTCATTAATATCTTTTGGTGGTGTCGATGTAAAGTGACCACCACGAGATTCTAGGTTGTCCTTTTTGATAATTTGTGTGTTTTCTGCCGCTATCAAATGAGAAAAAATTCTGTTAGCAGTCTCTGCACCATCAACCATTATAATATCCATAAACATTTTGGGATGATTCTTTATTGCCGATAAATTTATGATTTTTAGATCGTTTCGATTACCCAGCCCAGAAATCATTGAGTATTTATCCAACATGAATACAAAAGATCCTGAGGTTTGATTATTTTTGATGAAATAAACATCTTTAAAAAAGCAGAGTTTGTTTGACTGCAGATCATTGCTACATGCTACAGAGGAATTTTGAAAATGAACCTCTTTCAAGGGGTAATGACTTTCTTGGTCATGATTAAAAATCGTTAAAATTTCAAGTGCACCACTTAAAATTGATAGGAGGAAAAATTGTCCTGTTATAGAAAAAAATCCTTGAATAATACATTTGAAGAATGACATTTCCTAGAATGGCATAACGGGAATAGTAGATGAAAGACTAAAAATATATCGCTTGGTCTGAAAAAAAATTAGTTTTTTTCTCTGGATAGAAGATCAGGTATGTAAGTTAAAGTTTGTGAATTGCGATTTCTGGTGTCAAAAAAGAGATATTCATGTAATCCCTGTAATATGCCTCTTAATTAATCGAAAAGTGAAAGAATATAAATTTATTTTATTATGTATTTCCCTTAATGGTTTCATGAAGGATATTAGAGAATTTCTAAGGTTACTGAAATCAGGAAAGAGATTCAAGCTGATTTAAAATCCCGTGCACTGAAACACGTCCTTGAGTTCTTGAGAGATCTGAGGAGATGTCTATTCTTGCCTGTGCTGCAAAGTTATCACACAAAAATGTAGAGGGATGGTTGAATGCTCTTGAGGGTCACAGAGCTATCTTTTGATCTGCTTGGTTACGAATAAAATAAATGGCTCATTGGTTTTCTCTTATAATAAATACTGCAATGTAACAAAAATGTCAGTCAGCCGGATGGCACTAGAATTCTTTTTCACATAAATTGTTCTTGAGTGGGTTGACGGGAATCTGTCAACTCCTTCACACTTTGAAGATTGAACTTCCTTCGCAGGAAATCGAGGGTATTATTAAAATTTGGAAAACTGGTTTCAAGTGTTGTTGGAATGCACACGCACAACTCTTGCAGGTAAGCAGATCTAATACTGTGATAACGCAGTGAGTGATAAGTGATAACGATTGTTTACAATATTTGTTTACCGAACTAGCACCACTCGTCAATTTGATGCACCGCCAAAACAACCATTCATCAAATTTGATAACAGACTAACCTCAAATCATAACATAAATAACTTTGAGCTTGTTGTGTAATCTTGCTTAGATATGTGCGGTGTCCTTCAATTTCAATTTTTCAACTTGATGTGATTTGCTCAATATTTAGTGTTTTACTCTCCATCATGACAAGTTTAAAAGTGTTTCATAGAAACTTTTGGTCAAAGCCATTTTTATCTAATTCTCTGTTCAAAGTTTCAACCAAAACCTTGCATGGCTCAGCACAGCTCAAAAGTCTCACCTTTAAAACTCTCCCTGGTAGCTCTGTAACACCTAATATCTGCTTAAACTTTTTAAGGTTTAAAACTGAAAAAATCAAAACCAATGTTTGCTGGAAATGTGGTATTGATGTAAGTAGCGTATTTTTTTGTGACAAGTGCCACCACCTGCAGAAACCAAACCTGAAACAAAACTACTTTGAACTATTTGGCGTTCCCCTTAGTTTTGAAATTGCAACCAAAGACTTAACGCAGAGGTACAGGAAGATTCTAAATGAGCTTCATCCAGATCGATTCTCATCTAAAGAGGAGGTATGTTATTCTTTGCAGTCATTAAGCAGTTTAGGAATGAAAGAGAATCTAGCGATTAAATTATATCAGATACATTATTCACAATAATATTAGGAATTATTACAAGACTCTCCAGTCAACTTGCGTCGGACAAAGGGACTTGATAAACGCTCTTTTAACCTCTTGCAAACACTTGACAGGTGTATATTGTTCAGTTCTGAATTATAAGTATAATTTTTAGACTTTAGTCCTAGGTTTTTTTTTTCATATCTCCCTCTCCTTCCAGCCGGGGAGGATCCTGTGCCTACATTCAGAGCCCCATCCCCGACACAGGTTAAATGGCAAAGCGTGATTGGTCGGCTATGTCTTATCGCTGCTTTGTTGAACGACAAACTAAAGGCACCTCTTGAGTAGCTGACAGTGTATCGTCTATTCCACCCGACAAAGCAGCAATGAGACATAGTCAACCAATCAAGCTTCGCCATTTAACTTATGCCTTCCATTTCCACCCAACAAACACAAAATTTCAACCATCAGGCTGCAGGCAACCGTTGCCTGAGACCATCAAACTCTTAACGCTGAGGCAGGGGTCGAACATTGAATCTCCTAATTATAAAACCAGGGCAACAACCTCACCATAGGACATTGACTATCTAACTGACCGAGCATCAATGTTTAATTTTTTTTTTTTTAAAATTGTTCACTGTGTCAAGTTATTCCAACCGTATTTTATTGTTTTACTTTTTCATTCAGGATGAGCAGGTATTATCGGAGGAGTACTCATCTTTAGTCAATAAGGCATATGCAACCCTCTTAAATCCTCTTGACAGGGGTCTATATCTTCTCAATTTGGAGGGAATATCAATTGAAGAGGAAGCTGTCACAATGGATGCAGAAATGCTGATGTATATCATGGAAAAGAATGAGGAAGTTGAAGAGGCTGATTCTGAACAAGCTTTCTCAGAACTTAGAGATGGTATTCAGAAGGATATGGACAGACTGATCAAGTAAGTATCTGGACCCCAATTACATCGGTTTTGTTTGATGTGACATCAGTGACATCAGACGATCCTCTGTTGGAGTTTAGATGTGCGTTAAAATATTTTGCGTGGACTCTACTTCATTAAGAAATAAAAGAATCGGTTGCTTTCTAAAGAATTTTTTTGGGCTATAATTTAGGAATTAAAATATTCCGTTTAGAAGTGTGAAAAACAAGTTTGGTCACTTAAACTTTTATCAGAGCACTAGTCTCTGTGAGGACCATTTCCATCTAATTTCAATTTTTTTTCTTTTTTTAAAATGCCTGCTGTGTCAAATCTTCTGTTTGGATTAATTTTTTTGAGTCAAAGTGCCTGCAAGGGTTCTTTAAATTTTTTTATTCAACCTCTTTGTCTATATTACTGTCCATTTTTCTGGTTTTCATTTTCTCCTTTTTGGTTGTTTGTTTCCTCCAGTTTGTATAGATTTTTTCTTTGTTCATTCTTCAAATTAATGCTATATGGAGCATAAATTACTTTTGATACTCAAAATTGTTGTGCAATTCTGATTTCAATTTAACTCATTAAGATTTGCTTTCAACTCTTTTTCAGGCAGACAAACGAAGCGTACATGGCAAAAGATTTCCACAAAATGAAATTAGTACTCAGCAAAATGAAGTATTACGAAAGCCTCCTGATGAAGATCAAAGAAAGGAAGCAGCAATTGAACATACCCAATTAGTCTTTCTATTTCCCGAGTCAATCGACTGAACTTGCTTTGCACTTGGACAGTGTGGGGGCTGACCCCTCTTTTTCGATCTTACCGTGTCAGTCTGTCAGTATGATTAGAGGTATGATCTCAAAGTGGTAGGTATTGTGAGGGAAATCATGTCAAAGAGGAGAAGGGAAGGAAATCTGGAAAGGAAGAGGGAGAGGTGATGGGCAGAGATGCAAAATGTCATAAAACTTTACAAGTAATATGAAATTTCGTGAAATTTTTCAAAAATTCTGCAATGGACTCAGTCTGTCATGGAGAGTTTGGAATCACCAAAATCTTATTTTTAAAATTTTGAAAAAGACAAAAAAATTGAGTGAAATTTTGATGTTTCTGATCGAATTCTTGGATAATTGTTGGGTGTCGCATACACAGACCCCAAGAAATTGTTGAAATTTCATTTTTCAGCTAAATAAAAGTTAATTTTGCATCTCTGGTAAAGGGCTTGCTAACTGCAATAATTTTTCAATGGAAATATTGAACACCTACAATCAAAGCAGAGGGATACCCGTCCCTTCTGAGTTTTCAAGTGAAGATGAATTAAGTCAGTAGAGCTCATTATTTGTTTAATATTTGAGGTTTCATTAGCCATAACATGCAAGTGAGTCCAAAATACCTCCAAGAATAATATGAATACACATCTGAGAGGTACCTACGTATCAATAAGTTTGCAAGGGTAATTCAAAGTACCCGGGAAGGGATCACCAACGTTCAGAGATACAAAATGAAATAACATATGTGCCATTAGTTTTCCTGTGCAGATAAATGTTTTTATGTTTGAGCCAGAAATTGTTAAGTGCAGTCCTATTATGCATTTTAATGATGGGTCCCATTATTGTCTTGTTCACTTTCTTTTACACCAAATTACACCATACATTGCAAAATATTAAAGAGAATTCAAAAACTTACTGCTTATTATCTCTTTCATTTCTAATAGTTAGAGATTTTACCCTAATTTTGTATCTCCAATGTTCTCATTCACATTTGAAATCTCGAGTAACAATTTAAGCTTCAAAAAATCCTATAGGCTGATTTCTTTAATTTCTGTTTATGGAGACCTCTGCACTGATTAGTAGTGTCTTCTAGACTCAATCTTTAGTGAATTCTGTTACTTGTCTAGCTGGTAATTTTCATGACATTTTTCTTGAAATCGATATGATGAATGCATAGATTTCATTAGAGTAGCAATGCACTGGAACATCATTGACGTCAATCTTTGAATGGTGTATACCTGGCCTTTTGTTCACCAAAAGTGTGAATCAACTGTAAGCCATGCAGCATTTTTTAACAAGGCAGCTTTTGGAAGAATCTCAGGATACGAGTGTTTTTTGGGATTTATAAATTTAGATCAATATTTGGATTTCATTTTGCAAGAAGAAACCACAAGTGTTCCAATGTCACTAAGATTAAGCAACATTTTTTACTATGCAAATATAAACTGATCATCTGAATAAGTTTTATCTTTACTCCCAATAAACTATAAATTCAATACGAAAATTACCATAGTAAATTTAACGTTATGAAAGGTTTCAGTAATTTTATTGCAAGGAATGTAGGTTGCACAATCCTAGCAACAATGGAATGCTGTGGGTTCGTTTTTGCAAAATGCAATCCATTTACTCTTGCAAACGGCAAATGAAGTTGATTAGTCATACAACATTTAAAAAATGTGCGGAACTCTCAGTTTTTATGTGATGAACTTTATCCCAATAAACTTCCTGAGGGAAGTATACTAGGAACCTGCGTATACAGCATTGCCAGGTGCCGCACACTGATCTCAGGAGTGCTGAAAAAAACAGCCCTATAATGAGACTTCATTGTCTTGCCAGTGCATGGCATCCCTGATATACTCGATGGATAAATGAGGCTCTTGCAAAAATCTGTGGCAGTTATGTGAGTCACACAACGCCAAAAGCAGTTACAACTTTAAAAAAACGGTTGTAAAATAAAGAAAAAGATTTATTTACAAAATATGATACAGAAACAACTTTTCATGCTTAACTTACTAGATTAAACTTTAAGACTCTCAGCTTGAATTCTTAGGAGTCCAATTTTTCAGAAATTCCATGACAACATTGATATTTTTGGCTGCATCATCATCATCATTGCTCTGAAGTTCTGTGACAATACTGGGGTTGTACGATTCATTCGCTTCATCTAATAGTACTTGGAAAATCTCGCACTGAATGTTTTGATCAACTTTCTTACTGTTGTAGCCCCTGAAGTTAGGACAAATTTTCAATAATTAGGGTTAGATGAAAGATAGTAGAATAGACATAATGAGCAGCTCTGGCAAAGGCTAGGTTTTAAAAATTTACTTACATGAATTGATTTTAAGCTCTAGGTGCATTTTTCATTGATTATTATGGAACGGGGAGGTGGTAGTTTCTGAAATCATGGAAGATGTATAATGGGGACATAAAAAAAGTGCCAGTGGATCAATTTCTTGACATTAAAGGGATGTATTTACAACTAGGTATCAAAATGCTGGAAAATATCTGAGAAAATCAGACTTCAGTACAACACAATATCTGAGCTGTGTAAGCAAACAGATTAGATAGAGTGAATGGAAAGTATTTCTGGGCAAATTGAGCATTGCAACGTTATCTTTCGGCAAAAAGCTGCTTGTCCCTTACCAGGCACATTGTAGCAGTGGTGCAATTTTCCAATTGAGTCAACTCTCAGGTCTATCAATGCTCTCACATTCCTATATTATCTTATCCTCGTCTATTGTCAGCTAAACATTTAGGCGTATTCTATTTTTCAAAATTAGTGAAGTCAGCTTTATTTTCATGGATTTAGATTCTGGACAGAAATGTGGTTGACATGGAATGCATTGGTTTGGAGGGACTCACTGTTGACACAGTTTGAACAATCGTGCAGGGCCTGCAGCTTCTCGCCAGAATGAGACTTGGCAAATCTCTGTGTGTTTGAGCAAGTCCCTTTTTACCTCTTTCATTAAATCTCTTCTTTTTTTTTGTTTTTTGTTATCAAATTATAAGATTTTGAATATTTAATGACATACATCACTGCTATCATAATAATGAGCATGAACACAGAAAATAAGAGACATTCTTTCTTGGAATATTCTGAGATTTATTTCTGAATTATTCAGACGTGCAACTGCATACAAATTCAGAATACCTGACTTGAAGAAAAGGAAACAGACAATGATTGCATACCTGGCAGTCAGCCTATCAAAAAGGATTTCTGTCTTGGCACGGAGGACGTAGACATGATCTATCCATCTCTCAGGAAACATTTCACTGCTGTGATAGTCTAATATTTTACCACCCTCACCCATTCTTGGCTCTAACTCATCCAATAACTAAAACAAGAAAAATTCATCACATAAAGTTAAAACAAAATCGGAAGCTGGTTTAAGTAGGTAGGTATCTACTTATTTTCAGTTCTTTAAAAGAAAGAAAGAAAGAAAGAAAGTAAATTTTGTAATTATTCGTAAAATAAGTGTGCTAAAGATGGTGGCAGATAAAAAAATAGTAAAGCGGTGTAAGCAAGGTTTAAAACAGTATAAACGAGATTTGAAGCATTCTTTGCATGTCACTTGAAAGCGAATAAAGACCATCATCTGAAATTACATTATTTGTTATTCTAAATCAAATTCTGTTTTTTCGACAAAATTTCCATGGCAGCTTCTCTTTATAATTTTATCTGTTTGTCATCACCTGCACAAATAAATTTTTTTTTCTGCACTAATTTGATACTTCTACAACCATTTCATTTTTTCAATGGAGAAATATTACCAGAATTTGTCAGAAAATTTTGGTGTCTGTTTTCACAAGTGCTGGGAAAAATCATTGACAATTTTTGCTAAATTTAAGCAATGGTTCTGCTATTGAGAAGTACTGAAACAGCGCAGCCAAGTTATGTTCCCTCGTGCCCGAGCCAATGTCAGTATTAAAGACTAAAAAATCCAATAAAATCACTGAGTATGAAATTAATTACCTTGTCTTCATCAAGGACATGGCTTTCAAGTTCTGGGTCATAAGAGTCGAGAAAATGCTGTTTCTTTGCGAGATCACTGATATCAATCCATTCAAATCCATCTATATTTTTGATAATTTCTTGGCATAAATTTGATTTGCCAACTCCTGGAGTGCCTGAAAGTAAATAGATGAAGAAGACATGAGTGCAATGAATAAGCTTGAAGAGAAGGGAAGCTACTTGCTGAGGATAGAATGACAACAGATAACTTCAAAATTTATTCCCTCGATCAGGAAGATGCTGAACTTTCGACAGGTGCAGTGAGGTCACTACGGATTAGTTTCATCATTGTGCTTTTCAAGTCTTGATCCAAACATTTTCATAAATATGTATCATTAATGAACTCTTCAAATCCTCCAAATAGAAGTAAGAAAGAGTTCTAATGAAGACCAATTTTAGAGGATGCGGTAGACCAAACTTTTTGAAAATTTTAGAAAGGAACAAGAATAACCATTTGGAATACCTATGAAAATTGAGACTTATTTATATAATGCCCTTAGAAAATAGTTTGAGAACCTTCAGCGATCAGTTTTGCATGTGAACATGCTGATGCAAACATTAATTGGACTGATTTAAGCAGAAAGGAACCAACCCACATTTTGGAAAAAATTGAGTTATGAGTGTTTTTGAACTCAACTACTGCTCTACTATCTATAGCCAAAAATTCAAAGTTTTTGTTGGAGCAAATTTTGCAGAAATTGAACTTAAAGTTAATCTTTTACATTGAGTCTTATGCGGAAGCCAAACTTTAAACCTCTCTTTCTCGGTTCGATCCCGATGTGGCTTGGTTCCTTTCTGTTTAACTCCGTCCAATTCTTCCAGTAACTTGGTAGGGAAGTAGGTGTTATAGGTACATAGTGTGTAGAATAATTAGATATTTTTAGTAAGTATGGCAGATTTACTGATAAATAAATAATATTGGCTTTTAAAACCTGGCTTCATGTTACTTTTAAATGCTTACCAGTGAGTCGCAAGGATATTATGGTAATAGGGGAAAGTGGGCATTTTTGGAAGAATGATACTTCTATAAAACAAACAATCTGTTTTGAGTCAGTTTATTTGAGAAATCTAGGCTTTCAAATTCAAGCAAAAAATGCCACTAGTTTCCTCCTCTCACTTCTACATAAATGGAGATGTTGCATGTGTGAGGGATTTGCGATTTGACCATTGATTCTTATGTAAAAGTTTGCGAGAAACATGATGGTGCCACTGGTTTTCTCTGATATCAACTCCCAAGCTCAAAAAAGCTCTCAAGATGAGGCTAAAATGGAGAGGATATCCCACGCTATCCTGAGAGTCCACTTCTACATCAAGACAAACTCTCCATACAAAGATAGAGAGCAGATACATTGGCAAGGTTGCAGTGTTTTCAGTTTTGGAGTCCCCAAATAAAGTAGCACCCCTAGCCCTGTCAATGTATTTCGATTCAATTCAATTTATTCACATTCTTCAATTTACAATGTACAACAATAATAACAATCAACTTCCCTCATCCATGAGTTCACTCGTGTGGATGAGTCAGTTATTTGCTCCTTATCTTGGTATAGAGAGTTTGTCTTGATGTAAAGATGGACTCTCAGGATAGCGTGGGATATCCACTCCATTTTGGCCTCAAGTTGAGAGCTCTTTTTTGAGCTTGGGAGTTGATTTCAGGGAAAACCAGTGGCATCATCATGTATCTCGCGAATATTTACACAAGATTCAACTGTCAAATCTCGAATTCCTCACACATGCAACATCTCCATTCTCATTATCAACCTTTTTAATTAATAAAGGTAAAGTCATGCAAAAATAATAAATAATATATACCCACCCGTGACCAAAATATTGGGCTTTGTGCGAGTCATTGTGAATTCGGGTTTGAGTGAGTAAGTAAGAAGAGGAAGTTGCAAGTGGATAACGGGATTGGTAGGAGTATGAATGAATGATGAAAATGCAATGCTCTGTCGTTGCACGCCTTAGATAAAAGAACACTCGACGATTGGGAAATCACTGATTTAAAAAGAGACATAAAAATCCAAAAAATGTCACATGGCTGAAAACAAAACAAATCCAACTTGAAATTTTGAGGTTAAATTGATAAAGGTGTTGCAACCTCTTCAAATGAATTACACAGCAAAAATAAAACAAGATTTCAAGCTTCCGCATACCTCGAGAGTTCTTCACAAAAATCCACCCCTGTTAATCATATTTATCTTTCAGAAATTTAACTGATATGCAAAAGAAATCTGTCAAAACGCGTTTTTACCTTCATCATCGCGAATCAAGTTAAGTTTTTCTTCCGAGAAAAATTGTAGAGATTGGACACGCTGATGATGTCGTCATTTTTCTCTCCCTCCCTCCCGATTCCCTCTCCGCTTTCCATAAAATTTTATGTTCCCTCCCCCCTCTCCTTCCGTCACCCTACTTCCTCCGATAACGCGGATGCCATTTTTGTTGTTTTTTGGGTCTCGCCTTGGTTGATTGTTTGCATCCGTGCATTGTCTCTTTATTTTATTTTGCGGTAGGAATTGCCCTTTTATTTTACTGCAGTTTCTGTGGATCGCCTTACCGATTAACGAAGCAAGTGCTCTACCAACTTTCAGCCACAACTTTCTAAGGAACTTGGAGCTTTGGGTTCAACAAGGCAGCCGCCAATCAAGCCTCAAAAACAGAGACAATGACGCGTAAGTAACGGGATTTTTTTACCATTCCATCCTAATTAATTTCATTTGCAGCTTTCTAGGAAAGTGCCAGCTCCTTTTCATCACTTCATTTGCTGCCAGCAATATCCCCTCTCAATCCCTTAACTTCCACTACGATATACATATTGAATCTAAAGGTTACGCATCCTCCAGATATTGAGGACGGCAAGGTCTATCCTACTCGTCTGATTTGCCTCTTTTTGTAGTACTTTATATGGACATGGATCTTTGGTCTAGTTGACAGCAACATGTGTATAAATATCTTCTCTCAGAAATTTTAGGGCAACTTTTTGTACGTCTGCATGTGTTTCCTCAAGGCAGAGGTTCCTCACACTCTAGCCTTGCGTGAGTGCAACCTCAGGTTCTTAAAATTCCTATGTAGAAGTAGAGGTTTGCCACAGTAAGAAATATGAGGCACCTGCTTCTTTTTAAACTGATGTGCCCTTTTTTCCATAGTTGCCTGATCAGGTCTTGTCTCAGAGAATTGTCGTCCACCTAATCAAAATTCGCACTCGAAACACATGCATTTTCTAGAGAAATACTTCTGTAGATAACAGCAATTTTCTGTTTGTGCACTATGTTGATTGCATTTTCAAATGTTTGTCCTGGATAAATCATTATTATGTACTTACTGTGCGTTTTAGATAACTTGAACAATATTTGTTGTATGTGCGGCATGGGGAATTCCTTATTCCTTGCACACAGCAAAAAAGGACAAGCTACCTATGTGAAACGAACTTTAACTAGGATCCATTTTAAAATCATGAGGTTGACATTGGTTAACCAACAGCATCTGGATCGAAGTATCAAACAAAAAATTGTTTTGACCTTGGTATCAAAGTTTTTTCAGTAATAATTCAAAAACTTTGTCCTTGCTTTGCATGTTTTTTGAGTGCGATGGGAACAGACTTTTAAAAAATTGTGGGCACACAGCATTAATCTTTACTTTTAAGTACAATACTTTACACTCAACTCACGGTTGAGCCAAAAAGTGCAGGCATTTTTGTAGAACTGGGTATGGAATTGAGAGTGGATGGTTCCGTCAAGGAAGAGTCCAAAAATTACCGTGCTAAGAGGTCTCTGGAACGAAATTGAGATGTTCAATATAGCAAGGTTTCTGGCAGTCTGAAAAATCAGGATATTTTGCTTTTTTTTAAAATACCGTGACACCCTCACACTTAAACTGTTTGACAAAGCGTTGACAGCCTGTGAGTGCCTTTTTTCTTCATTTGAATCTCCAGAAGCGGAGATTTTGTCAACAGATTAGGGAAAGCCAACGTAATTAATAGAATAAACAACCAAGGTGAGATTTTGATCAAATGTCAAGGAAAGTCGGGGAATTTGGATATTTTGGACCCTAAGATACGCTTAAAAAGTCAGGGAAAGTTGAGGAATCTGAGAATGGGGAATTTATAGAAACTGTAGTATAGGGAATAAAAGACCTGATATCGTATCGATGGTCCATGAGCGTGCCAAAGACAGAAGTGACCCTTTAAAGGCCTCATTTTTATTGTATAAGTAGAAGTTCTGTTTTGCCAAGTGAAATGTCCTGTCATCAAGTCTGTTTCATTACTGTAGCTTCTTTATTGCTGTTATTTATGAGCCATACATTCTTTCATCGGATAGAGCATTATTTCAATGTCAAATCACTGGACCAGTGCTTATAGCAACCAAGTGTTTCGCTCTGCTGTTATATCCTAGGGTCATTACCTCATTCCTCTTCTCTTTCTATGTAGTATTATTTTAATTTTTTAGAAGGGGGGGGGGAGTAGTTTCAGAACCTAGGTGTAAAGTTGAAAACTTGATACAAACCTAATTATATTAAATGATATTCGGTCTATGAAGTGACCAGGGTAATCAAAACTTCTTGCAGTAAAAATGAGACACAAAAGAACATGTAGATAAAAAGTATCTTAAAGGTAGCGAAAGTGGTTCGCTTTTCCCAGGCGCTACTCACCGAGTCATCATCCGAATTTCAATCGTTTTTTAGCGCCAAAAAATCTATGAAACCGGATCGATTGTTTGAGTTCAATTTGAAATATGAATCAATTTTTGGAGCCGAAATTGAATTATTAAAAAAAATCGTAATTTCCTTCGTTTATGTGTCGTACAAGATCCGTGATTTTCATTTCAAGTTCAGTCTTAGTCACATTTGTGTTCTTGGCGCCGAACTTGGGTTTTCAAATGTATTAAAATCGATGTCGAAAAAAATCGATTTTTATCATCTGATTATAAAATCGAATAAAGTTTTTGCCGAAATTAAAATCGATTCCCCGAAATCGATTTATTCGAAAAAATCGTCATCCCTAGGCCCTCAACATGAGGCTTTGGCATCCAAAAATTTGGGGAGCCGAACCACCCCCCTCTAAAAGTTGACGCATCCCGCCGAGTTTTTTCAACTTTCTCGCAATCGCACATGAGCGGTAGCGCTTTTAACGCACGTTCACGGCCGCACACGGGGCCAAGTTAATAGGAGAAGTCGGACAAAATCTGGAAATTTGGAAAGCTCTTACCTATCTCTAAAGATACGAAACAAAAAAGATTAAGTGCGATTTCATTGATTTTTTTCGGCGAAATTTCAGGAACACCCCTTGACTTTGAATTTGCGACGGAATTAACATCGAAATTTGAAATTTTCGCAAAAAATTTAATGTTCGACATCTTCTGTTAGCTCGTTCCACTGTGGGCCGGCGCAGCGGCGCCACAATGCGTAATTGCGTACCTATGCCAGAAAGCAATTTGGCTTCCATGAATTTGTAGAAAGCTCCTTCCAATCGAGCTTTCCGGCCAAGGTGGCTCCTAAAATTTAAGGGAGAAGACAGCACACTGCCTGCGGGACCAAGTAGGTATTTGTACCGACCAGTACGCGCATTCAGTTTGAGCTCTTTTAATGTGTCTTTAATGACACTTTCTCCACCCAATTAGCTAAGTATTTCCCCCGTATGACACAGAGTTTACGATCTCAATTAGTTTCGTGGATAGTGTGACGAGTCATTTGGCAAAATCGCCCCAGCTCGTTCGAGGCCGGAGGCGCACTTTGCCTTCATGATCATGAGTAACCTCTCTTCTTTTCCTCAACCTGTCCTCAACCATCATTAGAGAAGCCGAACGAAGCCGAATTTGGATGAACCCTGATTTCGGCAGGGGAGCATGTCCACCAGGTCTCATCAGGAACGATCCACGCTACGTTTCTGTCACGATAGATCCGACCGGCTAGGGCGAAATCGCGCACGCGATTATCCGTTGTCGTAGGTCTCCCGATGGTCTGCATTCTGCATTCTTCCTCAGGTCATTACCGCGGCGCGTTTTTTATGGAGCATAGCGAGCTTCTTTGCTCGTTGCACTCGAAAAAGCTCTTTATGGGTCGCAATGACTCGAACTGTCGCAACTATCACTGGAAAAAAAACCATATTGAATCTAGAGTCCAGACTCCTAAAAACATCGACTAGAAAAAGTACTCTTGATTCAATCAGAATCCAGCTAAAATCAAGAACCAAGCCTCTTAATTTAAGCGGATTTCGTTTTGATTCAAGGAAAAATCCGATTGAATCAACAGTATTTTTTCTTTTCAATGGTTTCATGAGTCTGGACTCCAGATGCAATGTGTTTTTTTTCCAGTGATTGTCGCGTAAAATGTCTCCATTATTTTGAAAAGGAGCATTGCATCACCTTATTTTAATCTATTGATGCTGAGCTGATCTCAACCCATGCTTATAAAGTTGAGATTTGAATCTTAAGAAGAAACAACAGGAGAGATGAAAAGAGAGAGGCAATCGACAGTGCAAAAGTGTTGCGCCATGATCAATTTCGAACCAGAATGCTAGTCGAAATCAACTTTTAGTTAGGAATTTAAAGAGAAAGTTGGGAGGGGTGTCTTCCTTGCAGAACTTCCCATCTTCATTTTCCATCAAAATTTCGTATTCAAAACTTCCAATTCTAATGGAAGTCAGAATTGACAGATGGTCTAAGCACGATCTTGTAAGTTTCTGTTCTAGATATGCTTCTTATTTTTTATCTGATCCCGGTAAATAATTTATTTTAATGACGTTTCGACGGTGTAAGTTCACAACCAAGCATCTCGGCTTGTAACGTTGCAGACTTCTTTTCACGCCTCCTTAATTTTTTTAAATTGGAAAATATTCAACAGTAATTTTGAAAAACACTGTGATTGTTCTTCTCTGCGCTAAGAAAATTCTGGGAAAACTTGAAGGAATAATGTTGATTTGTTGTCCTTAAAAAAAGGAGATAAAGAAAATATAAATTCAAACACCGCAAACGAGGTACGTGGCTGTGGACTTACACCGTCGATATTTATTTAGATTAATTTTGTGATGTAAGTTTAGAATGTGCCATAACAGAACAATTTTTATTTCAGGTGGAAACCAGCGTGATTTGGCTCGCGAGAAGAACCAAAAGAAACAATTAGAACTGGCGAAGCGAAAAGCTGCTAACGACAAGGGATCAAACAAAGGAATGTCCCTGGAGCAAAGGAAGCAAAGGTATGTGGAAGTTCCGATAGAATTGGCTCTCTTATGATCTTCCTCTTTTAGGGGTTGAGAACATTTTGCGAGCTAGTGCTTTTCAAGAGCAAGCTTGTGGCGTCCATTTCTTATCTTCTGTAACTTCTCTGTATGTATTCAGTAAGAGGAGCAGGGTCGGATTTACCTACTTTCCGCCCATATACCTAGGCCGGAGGGGTGCATAAGACGCGTTTTCTCGTGTTGAACACATTTTTTGGGGATGCCCTGTCAACACTACTAGCAAAAGTTAAGTTTTGTAAACCTATCGCTGTGTGGACAAGGCCTTCCATTCATTAGAAATGAACGAAAAAATTATGAAAGAACAAACATGAATGTGGTTTAAAGATTTTAACTTCCACCGCCGCGCCGCGCAGACCGCACCGTCTTTGGCGCAATGCGTGAAGTATTCACGCAGTCTTGTAGGCGCCATGCGTTTCATGCTGACCGCACTGTCTTCGGCGCAATGCGTGAAGTATTCATGCATTCTTGTAGGCGCTATCCGTTTCACGCTGACCGCAATGACCGCACTGTGTTTGATGCAGTGCGTGAAGTATTCGTGCAGTCTTGTAGGCGCTAATATGTGTTACGTGCCGATCGCCGCGCGGCTTCCCTTTTCATCTCAAGTCCTCGTCATCATTGCTCTCTGCGCCGCGCCGTTTCAGTCCAAATTGTGTTTGGTTTCTCTCTTAACTCGACTAATTAAAGGTGCTGTCTCTTGTATCACTGAAAGACGACACAATTAAAAATGTCGCCTTTTCTCGTTCGTAATTTTTTTTTCTTCTAAATCCGATATTTTTTTATACCTACATTTAAAAAAATCGCAAAATTTGCCGCCCTCTAGCTTTGTCGCCATGGACTTCTATATTCAAAATATCCAAAAAGACAGGGAATTTTTAAATCCAAGAATACTTGTCACCCTGCAATGATGATCGTGATAGGCTGTGATTCCACTCGTTTTTGTCGACAACGGCCGCGCAATGTGCTTTATATGACAACGCTGCTATAGAAAATAATTAATAGAATACAATTTTTACATATTTCCTAATATAAATGAGGAGATTTAAAGAAGATTAAGTGTGTAATTGCTGATAAGGTCATGCGAGTAATTGCCACCTAAATAATTGTCATTCCATACATATATTTTTTATCAATTTGATCATTTCTCTTCTTCAATTTGCTGAAATACCTGCTTGCTCAAACCGCCCTATCTTCGTGCAACTAACGTATGAATGTAATAAGTGACACTTTTTGTTAGCTCAAGCAAAAAAAATTAAAGGCACACTGGCTTTTTCAACGGCTAGGTCTGGATGTAACTATTCGTGTTCTTGGGACATCCGTATTGCATGCACAAAAAATTGCAGGCGCCCTTTCTCAAGCACAACATAGTTCTTTTGGGTTTTCTATGTTGCATTTTTACACTCATCTTGACCATGATATTCGAGGAGCCCGAATGAGCCGTGTTCAGCGTTGCCAAATGGTCTAAATTTTCCAATATAAACGCTCTTATAAAGGCATCCCTGCATAGATGTCAATCCTGCAATTAACTACCCATGACATTTCCGCAGTTTGCACTATTGTGCAACGCTGCCATGGTGCTCCCCGACTCATCCGAATTTCGAGGATTTCTTGGTAAACATGAGTGTAAATGCAGCAAAGAAAACCCATGAGAACTAACGATCGCAGGCATACATTACGCTTAAAAAACCGGCGCGCATGCAATTTTTTGTGTATGCAATACGGATATCCTGAGAATATGAATAGTTGTATTCAGACCAACCCATTATAAGAGCCAAAGTGCCCTCTGTATTTCCACGTCTGATAACAAAATGTGTCCCTCACTGCATTCATACATCGTCCTTTTACCACCAATTCATTTTTTGTTTATTTGCAATGTTTCAAAGTTTTCTTTCCTAATTTTTTTTCCAGGGATGCTGATCAAATGCGGGAAAAGCAAAGGAAAGCACAAGAAGCAGCCAAAGGTGTTAGTTAAGATCTGTTCTGTGATGAGCCTCTGAAATCTGTCTCCTTTTATTCTTCATTTTCTCTCCTCTCCGCATTGTCTTCTATTTTAAACCCAACATTATAATTTTTGAATGGAATTCTCTCAGTATTTACTCACTTCGTCGCTCACTCTACTTTCCTGATTTTAGGCTCCCTCTGTATTTTAATAGAACCATCTTCATTTATTATGTGATTGCTTTGTGTATATATCAAAACTCAGTGTTAATTATAATTATTTATTATTTAAAATAAATTTGTTTTGGTTTATTTAACTTGCTTGTAGTTTTCCGTAACAAGCATCTTCTAAACTCTGAGGGATTCTCTAAAAATCAAGTAAGGTATCGACCGTAATTACTCTGGTTCAGGCAAAATTAATTCAAAGCAAACCCACAAGCAAGCTGTCCTTGTAGTGTCCAACGAGGATAATTACATGTCATGTGTGGTATTTTATTGATTTGGCAATTTGGACGAGAAACAAAGAACATAACAACGGTGAAACAACCAGACCTTGTGTCTTGTTTAGAGTATTTCAAAATCTCAACTCCCATTTAATTTTTTTGAAACAGAACAAATCAATATCATCCCTTGAGGTTTTCAGAGTTTTCTTCGCACAGTGAAGAAAAATCGGGGAAGTTTTCAAGAATTGACATTTAGTAGATTTCCACTTAAAAAATAGAGTATAATAGGAAGTCTGCATTGTTGCAAACGGAAATACACTATCTGGTATTTTCACCATCAAAAATGCTTAGTTTAGGGCCCTGTCCAGTGGATCATTCAAAATTCATCCATCAGTTCATTCATTGCTGGCTGGCAAACCAATTAAGGCAACACCGATTGACCATCAAACTGATTACTAATTGCAAACCGATGATGATGCAACCTTTCCCCTAGAACGCAAACAAAAAACAACATTGACTGGTAAATGTTTCATTTTTACTGAAGTCCCGCTGTAAGATACAAAGTTCAGAGGATACCAAAGTGCGTCAACTGATATCTGTTCGGATTTGCTCCTCCATTGGGGAATGGAAGATTCATTCTTTGCTCTCAGTGGTTAACTTACAGCCTATTGACCAACTGTTCTTTTTCCCACAAAGAGCTATTCTTCTAAAGGGGTGCAGACATCCAATATTATGATTTTGATCCAGACGGGAATCAGGAATATCTGGACATTGATAAAGATGATTGTTACATCACTTGGATTACATTTGGCAGAAGGAAAACAAAATAATAGCAGTGTTTTCAAAATTGTGCAACTTCTTTGCTTTGAAAAATACTAAAGAAATGCAGAGTAATAAAATTCATTCAAATGCTTTCTTTTAAAATTAAACATTTTTTTTGTAGAAAAACAAAAACTTTTCGCTACTCAAGGCATTCGTTTGAAGATAAAGATGTACGGTTTCGTAACACTGTGATTGCCTTGGCTCCCTTCTGCTAAATTATTCCTATCGAGACAAGAACACTGTTGTATTTTTGACTGGAAATAATGGGTCACTGGTACCAAAGAGTAAAAAACAGACAGTGTATTTAATTTAAATTACTTTACAAACAAATTGATGGCTAAAAATAAAAACAATATTCAAGGTACACTTGAAGGAATTTCATAGATCATTTACATGTAGGTAATATTGCTACAAATGCTATGTACACTATTGCTAAGAAATTCATTTTACCCAAAACGATAATTGGTATTTTCCAAAGACGGATAGGTACAGCTCCTCAATCCCTGATAAACACATACATTTAATGAGGCAGATTAATAAATTCCATGATTAAAAAGAGTTGATCATTCACACTACGCAGGTGCCAAATACCAGTTTGGGCTTTCTAAGATTTAGGTAGATGAACATGTGGATCACTTTCATCACAAAGGAATTGCGGAGCAGATTTCAGTTCTTCACATTTTCACATTTAGTTAAAGGCCATTGAGCTGTGTTGAAATATGTAATTACAATTGAAGAGTTCACCCAGAGGGTGTCTTTGAAAAACCTCTACTTCGAGCAAAACGCATTTGAAGCTTTAAGAAATCAGCTGCGCACATATTATTCTCCAATTTCACTTGGGAGCAAAAAATCATAATAAGAACATGATGTGTTTTCGAGGATGCTGTATGATTGATTCGTGAAACAAAGACCAATTTTTCAATATACCCTTCTATGAGCAAACTCTTCGATTTTTCCTATTAACCTAATAGGTATAATTAACAATGAACTATCTTCTCTAGGTCATCCAACAGAAACGGTTAAAAAATATTCCAAAAGGTCCTAATTAAATCCTGCCTCCCTTTCAGGGATTCTTGGTTAGTCCAAGTGTTTCATTTCTTGATGAAAGAGTGCTATGCAAGTGACAATGATCAGCAGCATCGGTGTAAGGAGAATCAACTTGCGTCAAACTCGAAGAAAAATGAAAACTTAGCTTCTTGGGGCTAATTAATTTTTTTTTCAGAATAAGACTAAAGTGTTGACATATTTTATGATGAAGACTATCAGAAGATTAACCTAACCCTCCTATCACTAGCCTCATTTATTTCATTCCAAGCATCTTGCTGTAGCCATTAAATGACACAGGCAATTCTCAATGACGTTAATTGAACAAGGACTAGTTATGTAGATCAGTCACAAAAACACAATCTGAACGAGAACGAAGTTCAATCATCAATATGAAGGATACAATTACATGATCAAGTGCTTCCTTCTAGTCTCGGGGAAATAAAAATTTCAACAGTTTGGAGATTTCTTAAATTTGTAAACTTGCACCTTGATTTTCATTGCCAGGATCTTATTAATCCTATAGTGGCACAAGAAGACTACATACACACATGCATGTATGGATAAAAAGTTGACTGAAAAAAAAAATACAGTTCTGAGTTTGAACAACGCTAAAACCGGACTTGAATTGAAATAGGAGAGCAAGGCTTCTTTTCCTTCCATGATCTATAATATAAGTTGTTAAAATAAGCAATACTTTTAACAACCATAAATCTGGGGTGGGCAACTGCTGGTTGCCAGTCATCATTTAGGAACAAATTAACCTACTGCATGATACATTTTTTACAGTTTCCAATTTGTAATTTGTTTTAAATTAAGTTGCCAAGCAGATGAAAGAATAGACAACCTAAAATCATTAAGTAATAGAAAATTATGTAAGTACAGAACTTTGTAGTTCGGTATTCTTAAAATTAAAACCCCAGAGAGCCAAAAGCAGGGAAATAAACTCAAGTGGAATCATGAGGAAGTTCAAATACAAAAAGTGAGCCCACCTGAAAGTAGTGTTGTGCAGAGATTTTGTCGTCTCCTCCACAAAGGAATACATATAAATCGCACTTTTTCAGAATATCTTACTTACATTTTATTTGTTCATAAAAGACGTCACATGCATTTTTAAAGTTACTAATGGTTTTTATTTACCTTCAGTCGTCAGACAAAAAGACTCTGAAATTTTCAGACTGATTTATGCGACGGTTTTCCTATGAAAAAATAAAATGTTCGGAGAAATAATGAAACAGCACAGATGAGATCCGCTTTTTCGAGACGACAATTTATGCAGTTGATCAACTGTTGTATTTTTTTCATTGTAAGCAAGTGTACGGAAAATTAAAAAAATGAACATAACAACAAAATGAGGTTAACAAATCAACAACTTTGGAAAATTCAACGTCAAGTTTATAAATAAGTCTCTACCTCTTGCTTCCACAGGCTTTCATAAATGATTTAAAGTAAGACTTAAAAATATCTGGCTAAAATTTTTGGCTGTGATGAGATTATGTTAGTCAAAGAGAAAGTACTAAAAAAGTAAAAGCTTACTGGTAAATTTTGGAAATATGTAGTGCCTCATTCAAGTTTTCACAGGAAAACATTGGATAACTTACGGTGGGTCTAACCTTAAACAATTGACTCAATAGAGACCAAACTTATTTGTACAAAAAATTTGAGGTGATGGAAGACTGGAGTGTACCATGATTAAATTTTATAGTAGAGGAGATGAAGAAAATCTGAGCCTTTCATTGTGATCACAGATGTAAATTTTCAAAGCTACTTAAGAGTTAACCGAGTAAAAGTTCAAATGGCAGAGATAGTGGAGTTCACAGAAACATTTTTCAATCAAGGCAAAAATTTCCGATGAGTCATGATGCCTTCGAGTTGCTTCATGTTACGCATCTTGTCAATTGGTTTTGACAAACATACAATTAATTTTTTTCCCAACAGGACTTTTTAAAATTTCTGACAGTTAAAACAATTTTCCGACAAAGTATTTTCTGGGAGGTATTGTTTAGGAAACATTTTCCTGTTCTCTCTTTATATATTTACATGCATTTGCCATTGGTACCGATCGATTTTTAAAAGAAAACTCACTATAATTTGTGATTATCTTTAAAAGTAAAGTAATGGAATAAAAAGCGGATTAGATTATCTAAAAAAAAAAAGAAAAAAAAGAGACATTAAAAAACAATGGTTAAATTGGGGGACAGCCTAATTGGTTAAAACAAATGTTCAGCCTCGAATAGACAATGATAAGATTTTTGGAATGATCTTTACAAATTGAGCGAACAAATTGTGCAACCTTTTTTGTGATGTGACTTGTCAGAAAAACAGCAGGCACTCATGTTGTTTATTGACACCCACGGCCGATGAGCAACAGTACCGATTTTGGTTAGTTCTTCGCCAAACTGTCTGGCTACTCCCTCTACTCACATTACCTGAAATTTAAAACAGTTTGTTTAATGTAATTGCATACTTTGACTATTATAATAATGATACCTATCAAATTCTTGCAAAACTTCTCGGCAACAACATCTCTGCAAAACTTAATACAGTCCACTTTCAAGTTTTTAAGTAATTCATTTTTTGCATTCATTTTTTGGGGGTTTTTCAGCTGTTGGCTGAGCATTCAGTCCATTGGGCCAATAACTGAAGTATAAGATAGTCCAGGCATTACTGCAAGTTAAAAAAGATGCTCAGTTCAAAAAAGTAGATGCTAATGCTCTACAAATCAAGTGCTGCTCAATTTTTTTTGTTTATTTCAATAGTATCACAATATGTTTAAAAATATTTAGCACATGAATACACATTTCAATTTCACATTATGAGCACAATAACAAAATTGTTTCGAATTCACATTTTTATTGATTATTTTATTGATCAGCTTCCATACCTGTAGAATTTGACTGGCTTCAAATGCAGTTCCTGGTAACAGAATAACAGGGCTGGAAACATGCCCACACTCCACGCATATCATGTTTGGGTATTCATCATCACCAAAGTCAGCCATTTCTTTGGCTTTTTCCATCCAGGGGTTCCAAACCACTGAAAAAAGGTAAACGTTTTAAGATAAAAGTTTGTGGGTATCCATGGAGCTAAAGGACACTTAGACATAAATGCTCCCACATAAATTGAGAAGCTGCATACCTAACATGTCATCCTTTCTCTTCGCTTATTCCACTTTCGGTTAACTTGTCAGTGTTGGTTAATTTGGTGTTCCTCTGCACTCATCTGAGTTAGTTTCCTGTCAAAACAGCCTCCAATATTGGCAGAAAAAAAGGTTTGGTGCCTGGGATAACCAGACTTTTGTCCAGTCGATGTAGAGAAATTATAGAGCAGATTCTTCTGGTAAGTTCAAACTTCCGGCAAATTTTTTAAGTTTGACGGTTTTTCTCCGGGGAAGAATCTTCAGGAGTATATTCCCCTCTTTTTTCAGAGAAAAAGACAAAAATAAATTACACATTTAGAACAATTTTTATCATTGGTATATGAGGATGATCGAATACAGTAAGCCAGATTTCTTGTTTATAAACATCAGGTTTTCTGACCTCAAGTTACTAATAAACGAGAAAAAAAGGCTAGCAGATAGCGAAAATTTTGAAGTACTTATGTTACACTGACTACACAAATAGTACGTTTAGGAGTGACATTATGTGCTTAATATGCTTTTGAAGCTACTTTGCATTTTGGGGGTCTACTTAGTTGCCTATGTCTCTTGGATATAATTATAATTAAAATTTAAAACTGGGATTTACCTGTGTCTGGAAAATTATACTTCTGTATCCTCATTTTTCTACCAGATACAACATTTGAGATAACATGCTCATGCGGTGTATTTTGGTATATTCTATCCGTCCATTCTCCGATCATGACAACTTCTCGGCCCTCTTGGTACATGGGATTACTAACGACAGTCTGAAAAAGAGAGAAAGCATAAATGTTACTCTTTCATACTGGAAAAAAGAGGTTGACACCTAACATTGTGATGAAATAAAGATCTTTCTTTTTTCAGTGCTGACTTGACTCCTACAAAATTACCTTGTTTTTCCCCCTGATATAAAAAAAAATTAAATTATAAAATATTTTTAATAATTAAAATAACATTTTAAATAAAAGAAGAGAGTGGTTATGATGCATACTGTATAGGGACACTAAATATGGAACACTTATGAACTCACTGGGATCATTTTTTAAGAATTGGAATGATCACAAAATAAAAGGCAAGAACATTGCCTTTCAGCATTTTTTTACGATCGGTGTATCAGTTTATCAATCAAAACCTAAAAATTCTTTTCATCCAAAGAACGTTTTCTACTTTCCCGCATGATTTTAGAGGTGATAGGTAATTTATCCGTAGAATGACTTTTCGTTGGCGCTGATCACTAAAAGTAACTTTCATGAAACAAAATTTTCTGAGAAAAATAGGAGCAAATTCTGCGGTCGATAAACATACTAAAGAAATGTATTGGATTCTCCTGGTTCAATACTAAAAAGTGTTTTTCATGGAGTAGAAAATATTAAAAAAGGGTTTCCTTCTATTTTTACTTTCAAGTCATGAATATAAAAGATGATGAAACCAAAATCTCCATGGCGGGTATGGGGAGTGGAGGCTGGAAATGATTATCTCCTAGCAAAATTAAAAGCAGTCAATGATGAAACGAAAAGCTCAATGAGGAAAGAGCTGAAAATAATGCGATTGCAGAAAAATGACCAATAATTAGCCTATGAAACCAATTAAAAAGGATACTTAATAAGAGCTTGATAAGACCCACGCACCTGATTTCAGAACTGCTCAGATCGATAACAATTAATGAAAGGGAAAATAGTTGAATTTAGATTTTACAGAAAAATTACACTTCCATTTAAGATAAACAACATTTTTTTGGCTAATAAAGACTTTTAGTTTTATTATAAAAAGGAAAGATGTAGAGGGCATTCACTATAGGAGAGAGTAAATAAAACTAAGATATTGGATGGAACCTTAATTTACCTAATAAATTCAAAATCATTCAGTCATCGTTCACTTGTTCGATTTGTTCTCGAGAGTTTGGTGGCTAATTAGTTTTTAGGATTCAAATATATGTCTCTTATCGCGTTACATTCATTTTCTCTCTCTCTCTTCCCCTTTCTTTTTAAAAAATGTGGATGGTCTCCTTCTAAATGGAGACTTAGCCTCATGAATCAGAATCTATGTAAATAAAAAATGAACAAAATTAAGGAAGTACAAACCTTATCAATGAATGTTGTACCATATAGACCGGTGATTTGACAACGCCTTACATCAGGAACTTTGAAATATGTGTGGAGAAGTAGATTAAAACTAAAAGGCAAGTCTTTGCTGGGATTGTACACACCAATATTGAAGTGCAATTCTTTTTCCCTCAAAATTAATCTATAAGTGAGACGGAACCTAATGAGAACAAAGAAGATAAGTTTATTACGCAAATCCTTAGGGTGAAGATTAAAAATAAAATTAAACAAAAAACATGTTTACACTTGGAGAGACCTTTCATTCAAATAATATTCAATTCTGATCAGTCCTTGAAAGCTTTGAGGCATAAGATAAACTGATTACTTACAAGGAGATTTAAATCAAATTAATTATTGGAATCCTGGAGCCACGTGCTTGCAGGGTATCATAATGAAAACTGCCACAGAGGACGTGAAATCAAAAACAAAATATTTTTTCCCTTCACTCCACTGAAAATTGAAACAAGTCTGTGAACTTGATTTAGGAAATCAAAATATTGAATTGGATTTGTGAAATAACATGAAATCTACCAGCTGTATCTGTTCAATGTTCATACAAAAACCCAGTGAACGGAAACATAAAGGCCAGGATGAACAATAAATACATTTAGTATACTCAATAATGATACCAGTTTCCATGAAAGTTTTTCTGACTAAATGTAAGAAAATATACTTCACGAATGTTCAAAGAGCGGAGGATTCTGCACGGCAATTCATGATACAAATATTTTAACTCTGATGTGAGCGGTGAAGTATCGTGCGAAATTGAAGGCGTTTTCGACTGGTGATAGCAGTTTGACGGGGCTCACAACAACGACTGCCGCGTAAACGGATCGTAGAAACCCGCACCCCTCCCGTCATTTCTTTGAAGATGAATCACGATACATTAAGATACAACAAATTTGAAAGAACATTTGTAAAACCTTTTACTTTTAATTTTAGTTTGTCAAGGTAAGTGAATTTACGATGGATCCAGTATATCCACGTTGTTTTTCAAGGTTGCCACAGAATTTGGAAAATTCAATTCCCTGACTTTCCCCTAATTTCTCTGACACATGTTGGTGAAATTCTCGGACAATTCAACAAATGCAAGATGGTTAAAAAGACATATGTAGTTTGAAATAGTTTTCAGACAAAATTTGGTGTCCGAAACGTTAAAACCACTCGAGAAAGCGAATAAAGGTGACTTGACAATTTTCCCAGACATTTCGTCATTTTCCCCGCCATTTCCAGGTTTTCCTTGACTTTTTGAACTTCCTCGACAATTCCCGGTTTTCCCTGACTGTGGTAACCCTGTTTACTATGAATTGCTGTCGTATTTTTTTCTTTTAGAAAGTCTAACCTTGGTATAGATAACAATGGGTACCTAAATCCAGGAGGCAGAGGAAAAAATTGTCTTCAGTTGGTTATGGAGACTTACGGGTAATTCCACATTGAATGCGTATAGTCGGAATCTATTAAAGAGAATACAGCTTCTACATCTCCACTCTGTAGTCTTTCCGGCGCTTTCTCCAAATTCCAACGAACGATTCTGGCAAATCCATGTTGTGGACCATAATTCCATGCTCCGAATTGTGCTGTCGAATGCAATGAAAACAATAAAATGAAAATTAAATCTATGGGTAGGTATTACTAAGGTAAAATCAATATTAAAACATTCGGTTTAAAGGAGGCTCAAATCGCCGCTAATGCTTAAAGTAACCGAAATTTACTCTGAAACATTTCGGTGAATTTTTTTACATGCATAAGAATCGCTTTCGTAGCGCTCTCTGGCGCTCTGCGACGCCTAACTGCCACAGACCCCAGTGGTAGGACCGAGATTTGTGGTGAATTTTCTCCACTCATTTAGAAATATTCAAAGATAATTTCAAGTAAATATACTTAGTTTTCCCCCCTTTATAAAAATCAAATATGTTCAGAAATTTTGGAACTTCGCAAGGAAGATACTTACGCATTCGTTTTGAGCCATCGTTTTACAGAGTCTCGTGAGTATAGTTCAAACAAGTTAAAGTATCAGCCAACAGATTTAGATCTATGCAGATTAATTTAGGCTGGTAACAACAGATGAGATTTTGAAATGACACAAAGATGCTCTTCCACATTCGTCATCTTTACGTATTCTGACAACGTACAAAAGGTTTGCTAGGTTTTTCTTCAGATGGTGAAAAAAATTCAAAGCTTCGACCCCCATCTAGTGCCTTGTTGAAAGCCCTTGTTTTATGCCATTTCAAAAGTCCCGCTAAAAAGAAGCTGGGTACTACACAACTGACAGAGATGTTAAAATAAAATAAATACTCACGAAAAACGAATGGAATGCCTCCTCTGATTGCTTTTTTCCCATCAAAAACAGCTTGTTTGCTGAAACAAAAGAAAGAAAAATCGATGAATACCACTTGTTCACCGCAGAATTTTGCGTAGGATACGTTATCCATGGTTCCGAAAATGGGTGGGTACAAATGAAAATTTTTGCCTTTCCTTAACTTTACTACCTCCAAAAATTTAGCCAGCAACGTAATACTTGGCTGATGATGGCTGACATTAATATCAATGGCTGGAGAACGAAACCACGCAACTCTAATGCGGTGTTTTAAAATGTTCGCTCCTATTTTATTTTCTCGAAGAAAAGCATTCCAACATTGTCGCTTGAATTTATACAAAATATTCTGCTGACATTAGAAAAATCAAGGAAATTTTCAAGAAATTACGTTGAGTAGCTTTCCAAAGAGAAAATAAGTATGACAGAAAGTCTGCCACGTCGTAAATAGAGATACAAGGTTTTGAGCTTTGGCCATCGATATACGATGTCTATAAATATCAATACGAATAATCTGTAACCAAACACAGGTCGCAATAAATTGCAATTAAGGTAAAATTATGGTTTCTATATCGGAAAGCTTTGCATGTAGTCTGTTCACTGATTGAAGGGGCTCCTCTTATTCACTAGAACAATTTTATTTTGCATTGCAAATTACTTATCTAACTCTCTCACAAATGTACCAATCGACTCATTTTATTGATCGCTTAAAATTGGAAAATATTGATGACACACTGTAAAAATATATCCTTTTCATTGCATTGGATTGCAAAATTATTTCAATATTTTCGTTGCACTGCGCTGTTTAGGTGTAAGGTTTAAACAAAACTCTCCGCGACAAAACGATAAGTTTCAAGAGAAGTTTCTTTTCTCATTTCCTCCCAAAAAAAATAGTACTTTATCCTTCGGATTGTTCTAGTGACGTGCATTTTGATGCTTTATAATAACGCGGTCCATTACAAAAAATAGGAATTTTGTGCTCTCGGTTGAGTCAGACAGTTGATTTAAATTCGATTGATCGAATTTTGAACAAAACTAAAATTCGAAAAGTTTGGGATGTTTTTGGTAACATGGCAGCAAGAACGACAGCAGACCAAACCGCTACCGATTGGGTTTCATCGAATTAGAAGTTCGGCATATTTGAGGTGAATGCACAGAATTAGCTGGATTCTTTCATAACACACCTGATGAGCGGGTAGGCCGCCGGCAGTTCCACTTTTTTGCTTTTTTCCCAACTTTTACTTTTTTTGTTCTTTCGTATTATTTAATTTCAAACTATCGGGGCACGGAGTATGGTGAGGGCTAGATTCCCCCGAGCTTTTTTTCTTCGCTTTTGTTTACAACCACGGAAATTTTCTGCTCCGTTTAATTGGGTCAAAACGTGACTGCGACGGCGTCAGATTTATCGGAACTAGATAACTCCGTTCTTGGAACTGCCGCACGAATGGCACACGCAGGATTTATCAGTTTTTTTGGGGCAGTTCTGCCTGACAGATCAAGTTTGGACAGTCGAATTTCACAAATCAGTAAAAATAGTTTAAGGAGCTTATAGATTTGTGCGATGTTAATCCAAAAATCGTCGAGCGAATTTTAACACTCCTCTCGGTGAGAATGCTATTCATCACTAGACAGATGACACTTGTTTTGGGGAAATCGTTCTGGGGACTTACATAGGGGATGACGTCCATGAAATTACGTCCATAACTTTACGAACGTCAATGATCTAAAACGTAAAACGTCGAAAAGGTAAAAGTCTTAAAAAAACTGTTGATGAGCTGAAGAGATGAAACATCAATACGTCATTCCTCTCTCACAATTATTTCCCTAGTTCTGGTTAGAATGCATTGAGGAAAACCAAAAACCAAAAAGTCAAAAAAATCTTTGAGTTCTGCGCACGCTTTATTTTTGAACGCTTCAGAGAAGAGAAACACATCGGAAACGAGCATCCGCGGTGATTTTAGAATTTATGAATCTAAAACACTGGACCGAGCGAAAAATGGGGGGGGGGGACAAAACTAAAAATGATAGTCAGTTTTGAATTATCTTCAGATGTCTGACGTAAATATTTCAAGGAATGAACGTTGCACCCGTAATTAACTACTGCCCATAATTGAGCAAATAATAATAATGCAAGTTGTCAATCTGCCGTTTATTCAAATCTTAACAGGGTAGACTCGTAACTATTACCACGATATACACAAATACTAACTAATGGGATATAAACAGCAGTTCAAGTTACTAGTAGAGTAACCTATATAGAAACACTGCCGGCAAAAATGATTCGGAAATGGTGTTCTGAAAGAGTCCTAAAGTATTTTGAAATGACATTTCACAATAAAAATTACGGCCTAGTAGAATGCCCATCAAGTTCTTTTTTTTGCGACGTTTTGCACAGCGCGACACGAGTGTGTTGAGGAAGGGTGCGGATGAACGAGGGAACGTTGCGACATTCACTCTGATTACATATTTTCCAGCGAAAAAATAATAGAAAAATACTGTCGGAATTACCTTTACAGTTTCATCAATGATACGATGAATGATGTAACGAATAACTGCAGACCAACAAGGACATGACGATCAAAGATACGAGATATATCTATTAGAAGGGTCCTTGATGAGACAGAGTTAGGGGAAATGGGACATGCAGTTTTTTTTTTAAAAAAAAGAGGGGGGGGGGAGTTGAGGAAAATATTTTACTGCATCAAGGGGCTAATTCTCATGAATTACCTGACACAAGAAATAACCTATGAACTCTTCGATAGCTTTTCTCAGAACGAGATATTGCGAATTTAGAAACAAGAAAGGGAGAAAGAAGGGGGGGGGAGTTCAAATTTCCAAGATAACTTAATGAAATTGCGAGAAAACAGCTGCGGCATTGATGAAAAAGAAATTTACCTTACGAATTTTGATATTGCACAAAATGATTCAACCTGTACTTGAAATGCTCATCTTAAAATTCAAAGATAGCTGTAAAAATACTACCTATCATAATTAATAACGCTGCCTTTGCATGAAACCTGATTAATTAATTGAATCAGCCAAGACGGGTTTCTCTGATGCCGACTTGACGAACGGTTCATTTTGAATACTAACTTGATACTAGAGTCAGTAGCGAAGCGTTAATAATCGATTATCGATATTTCCCCATTTGAAGCTGTTGTAAAGAATGGACTATTAAGGCGTTCGTTGAACGTGTTCGTGTTCGAGAACACCCTGTTTATCGATACTTTTCCATAATTTAAATGGCAAATCAATCGAAACATTGCCAAGCACACCACGCACTGCTTCCAACATTCTTTACGGGCACCTTAGGACCAGACTCGAAATCCTGAATAAATACAGGTAGGAAGCGAGTGATTTTAAAAATAAGTAGATCAATCAATCATTCCGAAAAACCTTGCGTTTTTCTATCATGAGAGTGACACTTTCTTTTAGGTTACAAAACTCCTTTAAGTTTCCCTGATTTTCTTGTTTGTCATAACACCTCGTAAAAATAATTTTTGCAAAAACTTTTTAGCGCGAAATATCTTGCCATTGAAAATATGAAATGTTTATGCTGGAAGAAAAAATTTCATGGTACCGCAGCATGCAGAATTTCCTGACTTTTCAGGGTTGGTCTGATTCTCTCACGTTACCAGCTTTCTTCAGGATTTCTCAGAGCTTGTCACATTACAATAGAATACCGTCAAATTGAGTCTTCCTGCCTAAGTTCGTGGCATCCTGACTCTATCATCATATAATATGCACGCAAATTTCTTATTCCTTCATCTGATAGTGCTTAAAGAGCTGATTTCGCAGTAGTTTTCATCATTTTTTTTCTGAATTGGAAAATAGTATCAAATTAGATTTAAAAGTGAGAAAATGCACCGCCTGGTGTCGTGCTGTAGTATCATTTCCCATTTAAACACATGTATCTTAGCAGATTAAATTATTTTGTCGTATCTCCTTCAATAAGTGTTCAATTTATGAACCAAACGTGTCTTCGTGCTCAGTTCTTTCAGAAAATTCAACAAAGTTCAGACACCTACAAATTCTCCATTCACTTTTCCTGGCTGGAATCCTTAATAATTTAAAATTTGTGAAACAAAAAGAGGGGGAAATATCAAAATAACCGTTCGATGAGAGAAATACCTCATCATAACAGAAGGTGTCCGTTTCTGTTAGCGAGGATTATGCACTTCGGAAATGAAGCTGATCACTTTCCTGCTTGTAAAGTTTTGTCGGTGACGATTACGTCCAATACAAGGACTCATCAGGAAAAATGTAGAGGGAGAATAGCGTTCTATACAGTGGCGTGGCGTGCTTTGCGATACATCGATTGATACGCCACTCAAACCTATGGAAAAAGATCGATTATCAGGGTGTTCGCAGCGAACACCTTGGTAATCGATTCTTTACCACAGCTTCAAATGGCAAGAAATCGATAATCGATTATTCACGCCACGCCACTGGTTCTCTACGAGGAAAAAGCAGACTTAAAATCACGACTCTGCTTGGATGATTGTCGGTATTGTTCCCGTGGAAGCGAAACAGCCTGGATGAAAGTTTGAAATCGGGCAACGCGTCCGGGTGAATTCAGTCATTGCACCGCGTCCCGACAAAAAACTGTCGCAGACGTTGCGATCCGCCTGCACCGTCACGTCGAACCGCACCTGTCAAAAAGCAGGGGACCGTTTTCAAATTCGGAAAATTCCCCCGAGCCGAGCTGGTAAATTGGATACTTAAACGCGGGTGTGACGGATCGATGTTTTGTTTTAGCCGCGGAGGACGTATGATTAAGTTTGTCGGGTTTATTCTCTGAAATATTGAGAAAAACACTGTCAATATTTTGCAACTAAGAGAATCGACGACAATTAACAAGTGAGAAATGGATCTAAAGAATTGACGAGGGAATTAAGAATCACAGGATTAACGACGTGTAATTAAGTTTGGCGGGTTTATTCTCTGAAATTTTGAGAAAAACACTGCCAATATTTTGCGGCTAAAAAAAACCAAGAAGAATTAACGAGGGGAAAATTGATCGATAGCACAAAATCGGCTAATA